TTCTACAGAAACTTTCCAGTAATCCCGGTAGTCCATCCCATCAGTAGGAAAATTACAAGTGGCTCGCCAGTGAGTGGAGATGTTTCCGATTGACTTCATACGGGACATCGACAGACGGTAGCTACTCCATTCAGGTGTATTTTAGTTGATTGGCAGGTCGTACAGGTAGAATGGTTTGTCTGTGAAGGCGCCATTGTTTTGGAACGAATGGGACTGGATCAGAGTCCATGCCATACCAGTCTCGGAACCAAAGTCGCAATAAACTGGGAACGAAATGTTGTTTTGGTCAACAATGTTGTAGATACCACTGGATTTGGTTTTCTCAAACAACATTACATCTCTGCATGATTTCGGCGGGGGCACAATGTGACACTTAAATCCACTAAAACCTGTCGGACATGTGCAGTTGAATCTTCTCTTTGTGACGTCACACACTTCATGACACATGCCTCCATGTTGACAGGGGTTGGACTCACAGCAATTGTTATGACACGTTTGATCAGAACAGGTTTTATGAAGACTAGTCTATAGAGAAAAAAGGCGTTAGAGTTGACTTTCCTATTTGGGTAGAGTTTAGAATGATTTTAATAGTTTAAGTTATTTTGCTTTTTAGCGTTAAAAAGCAACGACATTTATGTCATTCACGGTCAATCAAATTTGAAATATATCAGCATGCATTTTGTAATGTTGTGAATAGACTATTGAAATAAGAAGTAAAACAATTAAAACAAAACCATGAAAACATTAGAATGTAAAACGATCTCTTGTTCTTTCCAGGCAGGTGTCTGTGTAATTTTGTAAGCTGTATTTTCCATTTTTTCCCACATCTCTTCTCATACTCAACTCCAAACAAATGTATTTTTTATTGCAAACCTGAAAATGACTGGACAAAATATCTTTCTCTTTCAACGGTAATTTTGACAGTTAAAACCTTTTCTAAAAAATTTTTTGATTATGATACTCAGTTTTATTTTAAATATTTAAAAAGTGTAAATCGGAGGAGGGAAGGCAAACCTTTGCATTTTAATTTGTTTATACTTTTAACATGTAGCCCACTTGGAAAACGAATGAGTTTTTGTAATTAATAGTAATAATCGCTTTAAATGATGTCTCCTTCTATTTTTTTTAGTTCATTCTCATTCTTCTTTTTTTTTTTTCAGTCTTACTAATGTTTGTGGAAAAAAGGACCCCGAATTTAAATTATATTTTTGAGCAGAGTGTGGTTGTTAAGTTTACCACAAGCTAACGCCTGAAACAACAGAGACCGAAAAAAATTTAAAAGATAAATTTTTGCTGGTTGATCCACTAAAAAAATGACCCTTAGCGGAGCTGTGAATAAAACTAAAATTACCTCTTTGTTGAAGTAAGACCTTCCTATTTCGTAATAAGTTATGCCTTCTCTTTTCTCCAGGGCCTTCGGTTCCAGTGTTGCTGTTGCATCGTTCAGCTCACAATTTTTGGTTTTGTTGAGTTCGTTAAAGTTAAACGAGTGGCACAGACATTTGCTCAAGCACACGTGAAAACATTCTTTCCAGATCGAAACGTTCAAGGCCTCAAAAACATATCCAGCTAGGGACGAATTGTGTTTGGCGTCGGTTTTAGGAGACAAAGACTTTTTCTCGCACCATTCATTTGTACAATGACTGTTTGAAGATGAGAGGGCAAAAAATAGTAGAAGATTTAAAAGCAATAAATAACGGCCGTCCGCAGTAATGGAAGGGGTCCTATTATCCATTTCATGTAACTGTAAAACTCTTGTAATTCAGCTAGACAAAAGGGAGGAGAGTGGGATACATTAGGGAGAAAGTAAATTCCACTATTTTTACACATTTAAAAGAGTATCTATCATCTTAATAATTCATGACGATAAAAAACAAGAAAAACATCATAGTTACAGAGTGTGAATACCTGTTCTATTTTACCATAGATGAGTTAAAGGAGTGGGATACCATTGGAAGAGAATAAATTCCACGATTTTCAAATTCAAAGCCTGCCTTTTTTTCCCATCAGTTTTGTTAAACTGCAGGCGAACTTTATGCACCACAAACCCCAAAATTTCCGCACTTTATATTCTTTTTTCCGCTGTCCCCCAAAGACATCGTTTTACTCAGAAATTTTATTGCTCGCTGAGAAACCCACTTGATGTTATTGTTAAAGGTTTTGCGAAAGGTATGATGTAGGAAATCGAATAAAAAAGTAAAAAACGCTTACGTCTGTTTATCTTTCTAGTTCTGTTTAGGCAACACCCTACGCAGTCTACGCAAGAGGGTTCGTCAGATGTAAAAAAGGTCGGTACCAGCTTTTTTTGTAACTATAATACGCGCACATAAATTGCAAACAAAGACTGAAATATTTCTACTTGACCTTTAACTAATGCGAAAAAGTTAATTTGCACTCTTGAAGAATTACGTACTAAAACGTTAGTAAGATTTTGTATGTCACCCCGGAGAGACTTATTATAATTCACATTTATTGCGAACTGAGGTGGCCTCTCCTATAAGCCTGGTGGTTTCTTGAGGTCTCCTCGTCTAACAACTTGCTGTATACTTTAAAATTTGTTCTAACACAAAGGCTAATAAATGATGATGATGATGATGAACAGCAAACGTCAAGTTCATAATTTTTTCAAATCTAGAAATGAGGAGACTGATTAAAACTGCATGTTAGAAATAATTCATGTGGATGAACCTGAAATGATACTTCTTTAGTAATCAATGGCAAATGAAAGTTACGGAAACTTTTTGTCACCTTGTACAAATTACGCGCGTGTCATTTGACACAAACGTGATCGATCTTAATCTCTCCACTGTTACCACAGACTTGGTTCGTATTGTAGTTTAACTCTAGTGCAGTAATAAGAATGTGATAAAAAAGGAATCAACTATCGATGATTTTTACACGCATACTTAAAAACTTCCGAGCCAGAACTGAGAAGTCGAATTCACTGAGGAGGTGCAGAGGAAAGCAGGGTTAGTAAAACAGTCATATTTTTCTGGTATGTGAACGTAATATGTAAAAAGTTGTGTCATTGTATGAACTTGATATTTTGTCACCCCATGTAAGGGATTCCGGATTCTGGAATCCGGAAAATTTCACTTGTGGAATCCGAAATCCTGGGCTTTGGAATCCCGAATATAACTCAAGGAATCCGGAATCCCACAAACGATCGGAATCCAGAACCCAAGTTTCACTGACAAAAACTGGAATCTAGTACCTGGAAAGCGGAATCCAAGACTATCTTGGATTCTCCTACTTAGAGTGAATTTTGACTATTTACAAAACAATAAACGTCAGCGCCAACATAAATGCTTGACATCTAAGAACTTCCAAGCCAGAACTGTGTAGTCGAGTTCGCTGACGAGGTGCAGCGAAAAGCGGGGTTAGTTGCACCGTAATGACCAAAGTTGTCTTCGTTATATACTCCTCCAGGCTTTCCGTCAAATTCACAGCCTCTTGAGTAGCCAAACCAGCTGTCCATGTGCAGAGTGTAAGTGTCAGAGTACGCAGTGAAAACTGTGCAGTTGGTGCACTCATTTCCACGAACGTTGACAAACTCAGAGAAAACACAGAAGCCATGTGTTGGAGGCTTCACAAAAAGATCCAAACTTTCTACAGAAACTTTCCAGTAATCCCGGTAGTCCATCCCATCTGTAGTAAAATTACAAGTGGCTCGCCAGTGAGTGGAGATCTTTCCGATTGACTTCATACGGGACATCGACAGACGGTAGCTACTCCATTCAGGTGTATTTTGGTTGATTGGCAGGTCGTACAGGTAGAATGGTTTGTCTGTGAAGGCGCCATTGTTTTGGAATGAGTGGGACTGGATCAGAGTCCATGCCATACCAGTCTCGGAACCAAAGTCGCAATAAACTGGGAACGAAATGTTGTTTTGGTCAACAATGTTGTAGATACCATTGGATTTGGTTTTCTCAAACAACATTACGTCTTTGCATGATTTCAGCGGGGGCACAATTTGACACTTGAATCCACTAAAACCTGTCGGACATGTGCAGTTGAATCTTCTCTTTGTGACGTCACACACTTCATGACACGTGCCTCCATGTTGACAGGGGTTGGACTCACAGCACTTGTTATGACAAGTTTGATCAGAACAGGTTTTATGAAGACTAGTCTATATAGAGAAAAAAGGCGTTAGAGTTGACTTTCCTATTTGAGTAGAGTTTATAGTAGTAGTCATTTTAATAAGTTATTTTGCTTTTTAGCGTTAAAAAGCGACAACATTTATGCCATTCGCGGTCAATCAAATTTGAAATATATCAGCATGGGTTTTGTAGTACTGTGAATGGACTATTGAAATAAGAAGTAAAACAATTAAAACAAAACCACTGAAAAGTTAGAATGTAAAATGATCACCAGTTCTTTCCATGCAGGTGTCTATGTGAGCTGTATTTTCCTTTTTTTTCCCACATCTCTTCTCATACTAAACTCCAAACAAATGTATTTTTTATTGTAAACCTGGAAATGACTGGACAAAATATCTTTCTCTTTCAACGGTAATTTTGACAGTTAAAACCTTTTCTAAAAATTCTTTGATTATAATACTCAGTTTTATTTTAAATATTTAAAAAGTGTAAAGCGGAGGAGGGAAGGCAAACCTTTGCATTTTAATTTGTTTATACTTTTAACATGTAGTCCACCTGGAAACCGAATGAGTTTTTCTAACCAATAGTAATAATCCCTTTAAAGGATGTCTCTTTCTATTTTTTTTTTTTTTGGTCATTCTCATTCTATTTTATTTTTTTAGTCTTACTAATGTTTGTGGAAAAAAGGGACTCCGAATTTAAATTATATTTTTGAGCAGAGTGTGGTTGTTAAGTTTGCCACAAGCTAACGCCTGAAACAACAGAGACCGAAAAAAATTTAAAAGATAAATTTTTGCTGGTTAATCCACTAAAAAAATGACCCTTAGTGGAGCTGTGAATAAAACCAAAATTACCTTTTGGTCAAAGTAAGACCTCCCTATTTCGTAATAAGTTGTGCCTTCTCTTTTCTCCAGGGCCTTCGGTTCCAGTGTTGCTGTTGCATCGTTCAGCTCACAATTTTTGGTTTTGTTGAGTTCGTTAAAGTTAAACGAGTGGCACAGACATTTGCTCAAGCACACGTGAAAACATTCTTTCCAGATCGAAACGTTCAAGGCCTCAAAAACGTATCCAGCTAGGGACGAATTGTGTTTGGCGTCGGTTTTAGGAGACAAAGACTTTTTCTCGCACCATTTGTTTGTACAATGACTTTTTGAAGATGAGACAGCAAAAACTAGCAGAAGATTTAAAAGCAATAAATAACGGCTGTCCGCAGTAATGGAAGGGGTCCTTTTATCCATGTCATGTAACTGTAAACTCTTGTCAATCAGCTAGACAAAAGGGAAAGAGTGGGATACAGTACTAGGGAGGAAGTAAATTCCACTATTTTTGTCCACGTTTAAAAGTGTGTCTATCAGCTTAATAATTCATGACGATAAAAAAGAAGAAAACCATCATAGTTATATGCATCAGTCAATTTCAGCTTATACTATTAAGTCAAGATGCTCCCTTGGGTTTTTCCTGTGGAGATGAACTAATTTGTATTCAACTTTGGGCTTGCGAACTCACATAATTAACTGACTAACGGTGCGTGAACGCTGAGACTTTAATAGTTTTTCATTTCCTCGAGATAGATAGGAGAAAACGGTTTTGTATTAGTCAAACAAACTTGAAATAAAGAGTTTTCAGCTCCAATTAGTGTGTGTGTCTTTTGTTTATATATCCGAGTTTTAGCGCTAAATAAGAAGACATAGGCTAAAGTGAAATAAAGACTTTTCAAAACCACTTTCTGTATGTGTTTTGTTTATATATCCGAGTTTTAGCGCTAAATAAGATATAGTAAGCCGTTTCTCGCGTTGCCAGGAGATCGCTTCTCTTATTCCTATTTACCTTTTAATAGACTCGAAATAGACGTTTTAGCAAACCCGGCTAAAGCTACTTACCGGGCAAGCCTATTGTTCCTATTGAAAACCCGGAAAACCCCTTTGCCGGAGGTAACAATAAAGTATGTATGTATTGTAGTAGAGAGACCCTCATTAGTAAACCTATACCGAATTAGTTTGCAGGAAGACAGATATTAGTATGGACGAACACATTTTTACCTAGATATGGCTAGATACTAATTAGACACTTAATTAGCATAGAGGAACACACTTTTTCTCTAGGTTATAACGATGGATGACGTCATAGACTCAACTCTTATGCATATTAGTAAAGGGAACGCACCCAAAATGCAAGGGAACGCACCAACGAGGCTTAATTTTGCTGAGGCAAGACTACTAGCATGCGTTTTGTAATATTGTGAATGGACTATTGAAATAAGAAGTAAAACAATTAAAACAAAACGGTGAAAACATTAGAATGTAAAACGATCACTTGTCTTTCCAGGCAGGTGTCTATGTCCCACATCTCTTCTCATACTAAACTCCAAACAAATGTATTTTTTATTGTGAACCTGAAAATGACTGGACAAAATATCTTTCTCTTTCAACGGTAATTTTGACAGTTAAAACCTTTTCTAAAAATTCTTTGATCATGATACTCAGTTTTATTTTAAATATTTAAAAAGTGTAAAGCGGAGGAGGGAAGGCAAACCTTTGCATTTTAATTTGTTTATAGTTTTAAAATGTAGTCCACCTGGAAACCGAAAGAGTTTTTGTAACCAATGGTACTAAGCCCTTTAAATAATGTCTTATTTTGTTTATTTTATTTTTTTTTTTCAGTCTTACTAATGTTTGTGGAAGAAAGGGACCCGAATTCAAATATATTTTTGAGCAGATTGTGGTTGTTAAGTTTACCACAAGCTAACGCCTGAAACAACAGAGATAAAAAAAAAATTTAAAGGTTGATTTTTTGCTGGAACGCTTAAGTTCCGGTCGATCTACTAAAAAAATGACCCTTAGCGGAGCGGAGCTGTGACTAAAAGCAAAATTCCCTCCTTGTTGAAGTAAGACCTCCCTATTTCGTAATAAACTACGCCTTTCTTTTTCTTCAGGGCCTTCGGTTCCAATGTTGCTGTTGCATCGTTCAGCTCACAACTTTTGGTTTTGTTGAGTTCGTTAAAGTTAAACGAGTGACAGACATTTTCTCGCGCACACGTGAAAACATTCTTTCCAGATCAAAACGTTCAATGCCTCAAAAACATATCCAGCTAGGGACAAATTGTGTTTGGCGTCGGTTTTAAGAGACAAAGACTTTTTCTCGCGCCATTCGTTTGTACAATGACTGTTTGAAGATGAAAGAGCAAAAAATAGTAAAAGATTTAAAAGCAATAAATAACGGCCGTCCGCAGTCATGGAAGGGGTCCTTTTATCCATGACATGTAACTGTAAAACTCTTGTCAATCAGCTAGACAAAAGGGAGGAGAGTGGGATACAGTAGGGAGAAAGTAAATTCCACTATTTTCACATATTTAAAAGTGTCTATCATCTCAATAATTCATGACGATAAAAAACAAGAAAGACATCATAGTTACAGAGGTGTCAATACCTGTTCTATTTTACCATAGATGAGTTAAAAGAAGTGGCACATGCATTTCCTTGCGTACACGTAACAACATTCTTTCCAGATCAAAACGTTAAAAGCCTCAATAACATTATGCACCATCCGTTTGTACGCGCGATGACTGTTTGAAGATCAAAAAGCTATAAAACTGAACGACCCTCCAAAGTTATGGAATTGGCACCTTTATCAATGCCGTTAAGCTGTAAGACTCTTGTCAATCAGTTTTGCAACAGGGAGGAGGTTGGGATACCATTGGAAGAGAGTAAATTCCACGATTTTCAAATTCAAAGCCGTCTTTATCATCTCATTAATAATCATAGGATGATATAAAAAGAAAACCATCATAGTTACAGAGGTTTGGTTTAGACTGTTTTTCATTACCTTTTATTTATTATTTGACGGGCTATATCAAACACTCCACTCAGTGTTTCATTGAGTGCCAAGACACCTCAAATTATCAAGTTGGTCTGCTTCACAGCCTTTTTTTGAGTTGTCAAGCAACGCTCCTTCCATGATGACACAAAGATTAAAAGAACGGCTGTTGAGCAGACTACATATCTGATACATTACTTCCACTAATTCCAAGTTTATTTTATTTGAAAGGAATAAATGTTTATATATATGGTAAACGAGAACCCCGTGCGCTTTTACTAACTTTGATTTAATAAAGTGTAAAAATGTTTCAAAATCACTGAAAATTCCCTGTAAAAACTCATTTTACTTTTGCCTTTTTTTAGAATCAGTTTTGCTAAACTGCAGGCGAACTTTATGCACCACAAACCCCAAAATTTCCGCACTTTATATTCTTGGCCCAAAGACATCGTTTTGCTCAGAAATTTTATTGCTCGCTGAGAAACCCACTTGATGTTATTGTTAAAGGTTTTGCAAAAGGTATGATGTAGGAAATCGAATAAAAAAGGAAAAAACGCTTACGTCTGTTTATCTTTCTCGTTCTGTTTGGGTGACACCCTACGCGGTCTACACAAGAGGGTTTGTTAGATGTAAAAAAGGTCGGTACCAGCTTTTTTTGTAACTATAATACGAGCACATAAATTGCAAACAAAGACTGAAATATTTCTACTTGACCTTTAACTAATGCGAAAAAATTAATTGCACTCTTGAAGAATTACTACAACGTTAGTACGATTTTGTATGTTATCCCAGAGAGACTTATAATTCACATTTACTGCGAACTGAGGTGGCCTCTCCTATAAGCCTGGTGGTTTCTTGAGGTCTCCTAGGCCTCGCCTAACAACTTGCTGTATTCTTTAAAATTTGTTCATACACAAAGGCTAATAAATGATGATGATGATGATGATGATGATGATGAACAGCAACCGTCAAGTTCATAATTTGTTCAAATCATGATCAAGAAATGAAGAGACTGATTAAAACTGCACGTTGGAAATAATTCATATGGATGAACCTAAAATGATACTTCTTAAGTATTTTTTTGTAGGTATAACGAAATAGCAAATGGCAAGTTACAAAAACCTTTTTGTCACCTTGTACAAATTACGCGCGTACCATTTGACACGATCTTAATCTCTCCACTGTTAATACAGACTTGTTTCTTATTGTCGTTTAACTCTGGTGCACTAATAAGAATGTGATAACAAAGGAATCAACTTTCGATGTTTTTTACACGCATACTTAAAAACTTCCGAGCCAGAACTGAGAAGTCGAATTCACTGAGGAGGTGCAGCGGAAAGCAGGGTTAGTAAAAGCGTAATGACCAAAGTTGTCTTCGTTACCTACTCCCCCAGGCTGTCCATCAAATTCACAGCCTTCTAAGTAGTTAAACCAGCTGTCCATGTGCAGAGACATTCCCTCACCGTAGCCGGTCACAACTGTGCAGTTGGTGCAGCTATTTCCACGGACATTGATCAACTCGGCGAAAACACACGAGATTGGTATTGGAAGCTTCACAAGAAGATCCAAATTAGTAAGGGAGACCCTCCAGTAATCCCGGTAGTCCACGCCATCTGTTGGAAAATTACAAGTGGCTCGCCAGTGGGTGGAGAACTTTTGGATTGATGTTATACGGGACATTGACAGACGATAGCTGTTCCATTCAGGTACATGTTGATTGATTGGCATGTCATGCAGGTAGAATGGTTTATCTTTGAACGCGTCATTGTTTTGGAAGGAGTGGGACTGGATCAGAGTCCATGCCATGCCAGGCTCAGAACCAAAGTCGCAGTAGACTGGAAACAAAATGTTGTTGTAGTCCATAATGTGGTAGATTCCATTGGTTTTCAATTTTGAAAATTTCATGACGTGCGCACATGAGCGTGGCTTAAATAATTGACACCGGTGTCCGCCAAAGGCTGGTAGACATGTACAGTTGAATCTTCTCTTTGTGACGTCACACACTTCATGACACGTGCCTCCGTGTTGACAGGGGTTGGACTCACAGCACTTGTTATGACAAGTTTGATCAGAACAGCTTTTATGGAGACCACTCTACAGAGAAACAAGGTCTTTGTCAGATTTGTCTTCCCATTGTCTCGCAAAATTAATCATGCGACATGTAATGTTAATATAATTCTCACTTTTGAGTCCGAGGATCAAATCCTGCTCTGGTGTGACCAGTCAAATGAAACCTTTACATTCTGCTATTCTAAAATTTTCTCAAAGGAATTTTTGGATTTGTAACATTTAATACGAGAAACTATTGTGGGAAAGCAAGATAGGGGTGCAGGATTATATTTTCCAAACAAATTGTCGATAACAACGGGGTAACAAACGCAAAAACTCTTTTGTCGAGTCCAACCTACAAGATAAATTCCACACACAGACAAACGTTCCATAAGCGACCGAGCAGAATGCCAAAAAGGATACCCGGTAGCTTACTAGTTGAAAACATGAGCAGGTCTTGCATATTTACTTGTTAGAAGCGAATGCCAATTAAGTCAGTTCTTAGTAAAAGACAACTAATGTAATTAAAAATCTGTGATAAGAAATAAAAGATAGAATTGTTAATCCCAACATTTAATCTTTGTGAAACTCAATTTGTACGTGCCCCTATAGCTAGTTGTTTCTTACGATTCATCCATCTTTTCACAATGTACGCTTTCCGCCTCTCGGCAAACTAACTTCCTTATGACTAACGTTTACCTTTTGGTCGAAGTATGACCTCCCTATTTCGTAGTAAGTCACCCCATTCTTTTCCTTTAGTGAGTTCGGGTCCAGTTTTGAAGTTCCATCACTCAACTCACAATTTTCAGTTTTTTTCAGCTCGTTAAAATTAAAGGAGTGGCACACGCATTTTCTTGCACACACGTAAAAACATTCTTTCCAGCTTGATACGTTCAAAGTCTCAAACACATATCCATCAAGGAAAGAATTATGTTTGGTGTCGGTTTTCAGAGAGAGAGACTTTGTCTCGCACATTCCATTTGTACAATAACATTTTCCGGAGGGAAGAACAAACTGCAATACACAGAAATACAACAGTAGAGGCCCTAAAATGTTCACAGCATTAACATACGCGTTCAGCATTTTTTGATAGACAGCTCCTTGAGAGAAGTTTAGTCGTCAAATATAGAATGATTCTGTAGCTGCAACCTTTTCAAAGGTAATTAAATATTTATTATGCATCAAGGAAACCAGTTTTGTTTTGTTAAACTTGGTTCAAATCAGAAGGGCAAATTATTAAAAGAACTGTAAACAAAATATGAAACTCTCATTTTTCCTTTATGAAAATCGCTGACTAACATCTGGCTTGGCCAGCGAATTCACGCGCCTCTCATTGCTCTCAGCTAGGGGGGAGGGTGGGGGGCGGGAAGATGCCTGAACTCGCAGGATAAACATCTCCTCTTCTGTTAAGATAAAGCCTGCGTTGCAGCGGCTACTGTGAAGAGAGAGAAGAAAAAATATTATAATTAGCCAAATATCAACAGCATATAGTGGCAATATTTTTCCAGCCAGCTAAAATTTGTTCCTATGGCAATGTTTTCAGTTCTATTTATTTGTTTCCACAGAAATTTCAACTGTTTCACCAATCAAGTCCCAATAGAGACCAACATCAACTTTCTCTTAAGGCGGCATTCTGGTTGTTTTTTTTGGGGGGGAAATGATGTTTATTTGGGAAGGAAATAAGTTAGAGTAGAAAATTTGTAGACATAAAATATTGTTAAAGAGTAAGAGTAAAAAGTTAGTCTTGTGGAGGGGGTACAATTTGTCAATAAAAGGTTTACGAAGGTAGGATTTTGTCGATTGTGCTAGCATATTTTGGCAAAACGAGCATAATTTTTAGCTTTTTGAAAGAAAAGCACTGCTATCATAATCTGTTGTTTTCCTTCGACGTTGTGAAAAATTGTTGTAATTTTGTACTGAATATACTTCTACTTACTGAATTGTGTTTCTAGACAGTTTCTTCAGGAAAGACGACTACGTTGTATACCATACAATCCAAGAGAGGATAAATGGGACAGAGAGTGCATCCCCCATACACACCCTATTCCATAGGTAATTCGTCTCGAGTTATTTTTAAGACCACAGATCCCAAGGGGGATTAGACAACAGCCAATCACATAGCGCGAATGTGTTCCGCGTGGATGACCCACGCTCAGAGCCACGCGTCCTTCACGAATTGACGCAGAACAAAATGGCGGAAGACGTGGAGATCGATTTTGCTAGTCGTTTTGTCGACGAAAACGACTACAGAGAGATTTCTGCTAAAGCTCTGTCAGCGAAACGGAAATTGAAAAAGAATCGCCCTTTCTCTTGTATAGAGCTAGCAGTAAAGCAGGGAAATCCTTAACACACTGAATATTCTCTTAGGATCATTTATAATTTACAGTTTGAAGAGAGCAATTTCTGGTTTGATATTTATTCTTTTATTAGTCTTTTATTATTCAACAAAAATAACACTTGGCGTCCTACTTTCTTTATTGTACAAATGACCGGTTTCAATAGACCCGCGAAATTTCTCATTTTATTAAAGCACTGAGGTTACGACAACTTCAAGTTAAAGTGATTTCACGGGTTGTCAATGAGTCTAGCGATTCCCTTTTCCCAGGTGAGCGCCGGCTCATTTCGCGTCAATATACAGGAATGCTCTCGATCTCTTTACGCTTTCATTGCCTTTCGCCCGACATGTCTTGCACGGCGTTTAGTCATGCGAAACCTCCACGAAACATCCTCGCAGCGCGCGAGGTAACTTTATCCCGATTCTAAAAATAACTCGAGACGAATTACCTATGGAATAGTATCATTATTGTTAATTTTATCACTTGAAAGTTCAGTCCTTATTTCAGAGAGTGGAAGAAACGATGTTTGTTTGTTTTTTTGTTCGGTCGTTGTCATGTTTCTTGGTTTCAGGCCCTTTTCGTACGACGCGGTAGCGAACTGTCTGGGATCTATGATCAAAGATGGCGTCCTCCTCGTCGAACACTTCTGTTTAAAAAGTTATGAAACGACAAACTGATCCATACGGCAAGGCGATGAAGAAGTAAACAAAAGAATAAAACAAAAATATACCCGGGGTTCAGCCTTTATTTGGCTCAAAAACTAAGGGGCATAATTCAAATGCAAGGAGCGTAATTCAGAGAAACAAACACAATTGCCGCATAATTTCCAAAACCTTTGAGCACTGCCAGAAGCATAATATGCTCGTTTTTTGAGCACAATCGACAAAAGCCTATGCAAAAGGGGTACCGTTTCTGTCAAAAATGGTATATAAAAGGGTAAGGGGTTGGATTCCGGAGCGGAGAGTTTCAATGGGGTTTACCGTCAGCCCTCAAACGGCCTAAAATTTAAATTCAATTTAACCGTTTACCGTCAACCGTCAAAAACGAAGGTTGATTATCGTCAAAACAATTCAAAGTATTTCAAATCTCGCTATTTCAGCTGATTTTTATGGACTTCTGGTTCCTGAAGAATCCGTCCAAAGTAGAAAAACCAGTTCAGGCCCATGTTCTCAAAAACACTCTCTCTAGACATTACAAGACCTTTAGACCTTGCTTTTATCTGCAAATATTTCGAAATTCCATTAGGTCCTTCAAGGCAGTGCGAACAGGTGTTTATACTGACCAAGCTGCAGTATGACATGATAAGCTATCCGCTATAATGTAGACATCGCGAAAGGCAGCACCCCTACCCCCCATAACCCTGCTAATTATGCTTTTTTAAACATCATGCAGGGGCGGACGGAGGATTTTGTGATAGAGGGGGCTTAGAGATTTGGTATACAGTGGCACTATGGGCGCGAAAGTGCCCATCAGGTCTGCGAACGGCCGGGCGCATTTTTCTCGGGAGTTTCGGGCGCATGCTCCTCCGGTAAAATTGAAGATTGAAGTTCTCTGATATGCAATCTAGTGCATTCTGGACACTTAAATTAAGCAAATACCTGGATTCCATATTGAACAAGTAATGCTAAAATATTTAATAAAGCACAGGTGTGGTTGTGGTCAAAGAAGTAATTAACACTTTATGGATGGTCGTTATGATGCTAGCAGGGGCCGAAGCGATTGCGGCGAGAGCACAACCTCCCGGCAAAGACAAAGTTCGATAAATTTTCTTATCAACAATGATTACTAAAGAAAATATATTTAAGTAACAAAGCTCGAAGTACCATCCGACACGCGTTTACAAAAGAAAGAAAATTCCCGGACAAAAGGGGGGGGGGGGGACAGGGCCCCCTGGGTCCACCCCTAATTCCGCTTTTGTTATGCAGCTACCCAGCCTTTATTCCTTTTGGATTAATTATTGATTGCCGACAAACCCCCCCGGGACTAACCGATCTGAATTGAACGCTTGATATCTTTTCGGAGCCAGTTGAGCGTTATAACAAAGGTAAATGTCATTTTATTGTTTGTTTTATGCGAGTGAATTACAGTGTTGCTTCAAAGGGGAAAGAATAGGCAAGACGAGGTCGACTGAATGTTAAGCAAGTACAGTACCCCTGGCCGCTCTTCTCAACATTTCTATAACAAGTACGTGAAACCTGGCCAATTTATTAAATAATAACAATTAATACATTTGACTTTGCTTAACCTTTAAAGATTACAACAAATTAACCATCACGGAGCCATCTTAGTACAGAATAAACTAGACACCTGGTCTTCTTATTTTCGTTTTGCTTCAAAAGCTTAGAAAATAGCACCTAAGTTTCTCGAGGGTGTTTGGCTTGTTGCTTTTGGTTCAGCAGTCACAGTTGAGTAAACAACCTGTCTTTCAGAAAAGTCAAACGTAACATGAATGCCTGCCCAACAAAGCCTTGCAATCAAATCACGAGACAATTTACATTCAATATTCAGGACTAGAATCGTTTTTGAAGGTTTGCCTGTTGACATCGAGTATATATGCTATCGAAACTGTTACCCACGAGTTTTAAAGGCCTGTAACCTGCTATTACACCGCATTTCTTAGAGTGCTTTTCCTAAGTTTCGTAGCTTCGCAAACACTGTTAACTGTTACAAAGCTAATGCTTTTCATCGAAGGTAAAGTCGATATTTTTTTAAGTGGCCCAAAAAACACGGTAGAAGTGGTATGTAAAAGAACCTTGCGTATTCTTATTCCGGAATGTGATCAGTCGAACGCACCCTTAGAACCTCCATAAACAATGGCTTTCAAGACCAATACGGCAACCCTTTATCATTACTAGAATTACAACAGACTAAGCACAGACGCTCTTTTTTCTTAGTCCGTCGAGCAAAACCCGCGAGACACGAAAATGACCAATCTGCCGCCCTCGTTTAGGCGCTCGCGCGCGAGTGCATTTCTCTCACTAAATTTGAAGAAAAGATAGCCTGCGTAGCAAGCGTTTCTGTACGGTTTAGGCGAAAAGAATGAGGAACGAGAGTCAAAGACCGCGAGAGAAGTGGCGCAAGTAAAAGAGCGGGGAGGGGGTGGGGAAGAAAGGAAGGAAACGCTTGCAGACAAACCCCGGGATTTTGAAAACCACCCACTTGGTCTGTCACGCCTGAGTTCGCGAACCGACATTTGATGCTGTCATCAACTGTCATAATTGACCAATAAAATGTTTGGCCTTCCGTGGAGCGGAAATGAACTTTAGAGGACGCGTTTGTGAAACCAAAATAATTTTTTTTTTGTATTTTGGAGCGCGTGGACGGCGTTCATGGTGAAATCTCAATGAATCCGAATGACCAATGCAAGCTTTGTACATTTGTTTTCTTAATCCGTCTAAAAGGAAGGACCGCGAGGGTGAATGAAGTTTTAAAGTTTTAGCTCTAAACCTCCAGAAAGTTGGATTTGAAGTGGTAAAATGTGACAAGCATTCAAGTCTAGATTAGCTAGACAGAACGGCTTACCGTTCTCGCCACGGCACAGACCACTAGATTGCTCTTGTAAAAGCATCCTAGAACAAAGCTAACCCGGCAACTGAAAGTTCGCGTGGAGAACCAAGCAGAAATTTTGACTGAGTCACAATGCAGGTCTTCCTAGTTGATGTAGCTTCAGTTTAAGGTGCAATCCATTCTTCAAAATTTGTATCTGTAAATCACTATCCGAGAGAATTTAACATCCCGCAAAAAAAAAAAAAAACAGTAACGAGCTGGGCCCAGCATAACAAAACATTGCAGGAAACCATCGCATTCCCTTACAAAAGAAAATCGCTTTTAGTTATTCAGATCCAGGAGACAAATAAAACGACCCGAAACCCTTATAAAGTCGCAAGAAGAGCTTTGTGTTTCAAAAGAAGTTAAATAAAATGCTCTTGTACTGGAGGAAAATCTTGCTGACCAGAATAAACAATAACCACAGAAAATTAATATGCGTGTCACGTACCAAACATGACCTCTCAGTATGAAACAAACCTTTGATCGACACATGTCAACATTGTTCGACTAGCCGAGCCAATCAGGCGCTGCGTTCGCTGGCGAACGCAGGTTTTCAAAATCGAGGGGTTTGTCTGCAAGCGTTTCCTTCCTTCCCCTCCCCCCTCCCTCCTCTTTCACTTTTTGGCTCTCGTTTCATTTCTCGCGCGGTCAAAACCGAAAAACCCCTTCCTCGGTCTTTCTTTGCTCCGAAACCAAACGGAAAACGCTCCTTCCCAGGTGGTAGTCAACCTTCACATTGTTAAAAATCAGCCTGGATTCACATCTGGGAGGAGCGTTGCGTGACGAAAGTAAAAACGGCTGTGTGGCAGACTTCTTTTAACCAAAAAAACACAATGCAATGTATTGATATAATTCTAATTCACAATTTTTAGTTAAAGTAAAGTATATTAATGTTAACTAACTTCTGCCAACGTTCTTCAAATTACTATATTAGATAAGTCGATGTAATTGTGAAAGGATTTGAAGTTTATTTTTCGTACATTGTTCCTTTGACCAGCAAAGCTTTTAGTTGTTCGGAGAAAGTTCACCGTCATTCTGTTTCTCGCATTCCAAGTCGCCAGTAAAGCTCCCAGAGCTTGTAGCAGACGCTTGGAAGAAGTGGGCGCGTGAGGGAGACACGCGAGGGGAGAGGAAACTCTTCCTCCCCCCTCGCGCGCCCCATTCTTTCTTGCGCCTATTAATTTCAAGCACTAACTACGCAGGCCACACCCTTCACATAATCTTATAGGCTGCTGTTCAATAGCAACAGAGTCGGAGCCGTAATCTGAAAAGCGCAGAGCTTACTATATATAGTGAAAACCAAACGATTTCGCTTATGGCCATGATTGCCACACGTATCCACATATTTTTGAGATCGGAGGAAAAAATCTCCGTTTTCAAAAACACAAGCGTCCAAAGGTAGCGTATTTGAATCGTTTTTGCCCTTCCAGATGAAAAAGCTAAAACGATGGAAATACGATTACATCCCTTTAAAAAAGGGCATGCGTAATGATAGTAATATGTACGACATCACCGTATTCAAAAGCCTCCGTTTCCGTCCGTCCACACGTAAACGAGAAACCGACGTTCTAAAAAAAACTTCGTTTCTGGTTCCCGAAAACGCCGTTTACGTGTAGACAGAAGGCTAAAGCAGAAAAAGTCTCCGTTTTCAAATTGACCATTGACCAGTGATGTCTTGGGCAAAATCGCAAAATGGAGAGTGCTGATTATTGCTCATTCAATTCCTATCAGCTTATGGCTCCGATCACGACTCCAATCTTCACAGGTTCCAGAGGATTTCCGTACGTTTCTCGTTCGGAAAGCTTCGCTTTTGGCACCTACGAGGAAATGGCTAGCGGCCATTTTTTTTCCAACACGGCGGCTTGTAACGCGTCGATCAGGAGATATAGACTAGAGAATCTCTTCAAAATGCATCAATAAAGATCCTCTTGGATTTTCTAATTGGGTTTATCGATGAGGATATATAAGGGTAAGACGTTAATAAATTATTCACTTGTTCAAACGGAACCTTCTGGACTCCGTGGACCGTTTATTTTTATTAGTTCATGAGGGCTCTTAAGCCTCCGGCTACCTGGCTGTTGAAGAGCAGTCTTGTGAAGGTAGAAACATAGAGTAACAAACTGTACGGCATTGTGCAAAATATATGGAAATATACAGTTTTGATTATGACACCACTTATAATGTCGCTTAATTGTCGTCATAGTATAATATCTTATTTTCATTGTTTTCGCTGTTCATCCTTACATAATGTAAAGGAAGAAAATTACACTGTTATTTAAAGAAAAATTTGCTGTGCCTAAGCATATAAATACATAAAATAATTAGCAAACGCCAAGCTTCTAAGAGTCGCTCCCAAGCGTAGTTCAGTAGCCAGCGACATCAGAAGAAAGCTAGTGCAAACGGACGCAACAACTCCCAACATTGTTGGACCAACAATGTTTGGAGTTCTTGTGTCCGTGTTGGCAGTGGTGCACGAAAAGATAGAACAACTTTCAACAACACGCAACAACATGCAACAGGGTATGCAACATGCAACATGTAACATCCGACAATGTTGCGTCCGTTAATATCGGGCAGGAGTTTACGTTGTCACGCAAAGCACCCTAACAGCCAACAGTCACTATAAAAATAGTTATACATCAAAGACCATTTTCGGCTTGATTCAGTTTCCTTGTTATGTTTTGGAAAATGCGCTTCCTGGATGATTCAAGATTTTATCTTTTAAGATAATACGTATTCAAACATTTCTTTCGAGGTTCTTTGGAATAGCTCACTGCTGATTGCACCTTTTTCTATTAACTGAACTTGAACAATCAATTATATTTTCTACGTCGTGCTTGGAAGATTTCCAACGTTCACATGGAGCGTGTAGACGCGGAACGCTTTCTAAGGCGACGCTTATGATTGTCCTTTTCAATACACTGCCCGCGATCAACTCTTCACTACCACTGTCAAGGCATTGGGGGGGGTGGGGGGGGGGGCGAGGAAGGTTCGGGATCAGGGGGTGGTGGAGGGGGAACCATTCCTTGCATCATACCTGGCATCACACTTGAAGTAAAGGTTGGTGGCAGAAATTGTGGGGGAAATTGCCCAACCGGGAGCTGCATTTCCGCACCAGGAAAAACACCAAGCATTCCTGGCGCATTCAACGAAGACAGCACATTAAATTCTACTCCGGGTGGGGGAGGTGGAGGGGGCGGCGGTGGAGTTATTGGCCTAGCAACTGTTGCTGTTGCTACTGGTTTAACTGTACTTGAGTGTTTTTTAGAAGAATCGATTGATCCCGAGGAAGGCTTTTGCGATGAAGAATGACCATGTCCGTGATGCGACGAAGATGACTTATGGCTTGAGGAAGTGTGATGAGATGACGGATGCGGTTTTCTGGAGGAGTGTGAATAGGAGTGGGAAGAGGTGTGGGACATTTGTGAAGCCGAAGGGTGAAGAGGGTTCAAAGGTTTAACAGCATGGCTTGAGCTTTTGTGCGCAGATGAGTGGGAATGCTTAATGGTTGCAGACGGTGAAGAATCAGATGACTGTGAGGAAGACCCAGGCTTTCGATGCGTTGAGGAATGAGATCGCTGTGAGTGCGAATGCGAAGACTTGTGTTTCTTTGCAGGTTGCGATTCATCATGATAATGGTGTCTATGTTTGCTTCTTGAAGATAAAGGATCCTTCGCTGACGATGACATCCCCGATGTAGAATGAGCTGCAGTTGTAGAAACCTTTGATTCGCTAGGTTGCATTTGACTAGCAGTAGTGACTGTTGCATATTTAGATGTAAGCGGTGGTAATGGAGGTAAAGGCGGATAGGGCATAGCAGATGAAGACGAGCCTGATCCAGTTAAAGAAGTCACAGTAGAGGAGGATGGCAAGGGTTTAAGTTTACCCAACGTGGATTCTTTTCTCTTTTCCCTTTCTTTTTCTTTATCTTTATCAAGTCTCGACTTACTATGGGACGCCTTTGCATCCAAATCATTTTGCGAATGCCCTCCGTCGTGAGAATTAAATCCATTATGGGTTCCATCCAAGCTATTGTGACTAGAAGCCGAAGGTAGTCCCAAGTTACCACTACTAGCTACACTGTTTACTTTACTTGACTCGCCTTTAGCTACTTTGCTGTGTGATACACCCTGGAAATTCAAACAAAACAGCATCCGTTATAACCCACAGCTCACGCCTTTTATAGTGGCACTACATGTATGAAGAGGGAGGGAAGTGAGAAACAACGGAAATCTCAATGTGATTTTTGTGTTAAAGTTGATTTAAATACTCAAACAAACCATTGACTAAAGAGCTACCTGGACCCTAGCTTTTTATATCATATCTCAAAACTCTACTAAAAAGCGTTTTTGATACACTTCTCTCGGTATTGGCTAACCAGATGAAACACTCTCAACACATGATTAATGTTCTATTACATTCACAAGGTAAAACTCAAAAACTCGAACACAAATATTTACAATCCTTTACAAATTAAGCCCTTTTACATGGAATCCTATAGAGACAATAAGAGTAGGCAAAAACAAAACAAAAACACAATGTGGCTGAAATCTAATGAAAGCAAATACCAAGAAGAACAAAACTCAAATTTCTTGCCTTTAAGTTAGTCACTGTGTTGATCTTCCTTTTGAGTCTATTAGGGCATTTTTCCATGACTCTAAGAAAATCTTGAGCAATTTCTGTAAGATATTTGAAATGCATACAAGTGGTCTTGCACTGTGGACATATACTATTAACATTGTTTTTATTAACCAAAGCCAAAAAAACATCTACAAACTATAGATAACTACTTTGGGGTAAAGATAATGGATGCCTTAGCAGTATAGCTAGGCATTTTGCCCAAAAATAGGAAGTAAACCAATCAACAGCAAACATGCAAACAATATAAAGAAGTCATGAAAGCCATACCATCTAACATTGTTTTGTTTACAGATGGATCAATGTATTCCCACCAGTCTTTCCCATCATTTGACCTTGGAATCTAAAAAGATAAATAAATCAACAAATGTTACTACGCTGACAACAAAGGTAAATGTAACCAGACAATTAAACAAAATAGAGAACAAACAAAAAAAATGGTGTTTTTTGCAGTTGGTAAGTTTTGAATCTGTATTCATGTCACATTTAAGAGGCAAATTCTTTTTCCTCCAATGAAAGGAGTGAGATACGAAGTCTTACACTCCAGGAGAAATTTACAATCTCCTTGTGGGCCATAATTTTCTTCAAACATTACTGGGGTTGTCCAAAGGTTTCTAATTATGCAAATCACCAAAGAAATTCAAACTTCCAAGGATTAATGAAGAGTCCTTCTCTTGTAAAGTCTTAATTACTTACTTCCCAGTTGGACCACTTTGAGGCCAAGTGAATACATGCACATGCCACTACAGGCGGTTTGTATTGGAGACACAGCGTAGTGAGGTGAAGGCTACAGAATAAAGCACACATGGTCATTTCAGACAAGAAATGCCCAGCTGAAATCGTCAGAAATCCTCAAAGCACTCTGTCATAAAGGGAACTCTTAGTTATTAAGGACAGTCAAAGTTAATTGATCTTCTGAGCGTCAGATTTCACGTGGCCTTTGATGACCTTTGTTGTAAACAAACCCCAAAAGTTTGGACATCTGTTCTTACCCACAAACACGTCAATTTGTAACTTTTCCTTCCTTTTTGCTGCTTGAAACTCGAATAATTTAAGGTTCAAAATATCAAAGCAGAAGACCAGGAGTGAAACCGCCTTGAGTGTGGTAAAACTGAAAAATATTCACCAGAACATGGAGTTTCAAACTGAACCAGCACGGGGAAATCTCCTCTGCAGTTGACGTTGTTCACGAGGTCATGACATTATTTGTATAACAATACAAAAGGTTAATACAGCAGTTGTATAGGACAAGAAGACAATACTGCTGGAATAACATAAAATGCAATAACATAAAAAGACTTTGAATCTTTCAAGTATTACAACTTAGCATACTACGTGGGCATCCTCGTGTAGTTATCTCAGCAAGAAAGCCTTACATTGTAATGATTAGATTGATGCAAGGTTGTAAGGCTCTACCTGTTTGTGGCCATGAAGTAGGAGGTCTGGCCAAGGTCCTTGCTTGCTGGAGTGGGCAGTGGGAAATGTTAAATTAGAAATATTCAATCGTTCACCACAAGTACTACATACAATTGAATCTCAAATAAATACAATGGACCTGTACTGTGCAAGTACATGTAAATGTACATCACCTATACACATGTGCATGTACATTGCAACCAGATCTAAACATGCAAATAACAATGACAGTAAAGGGTTTTAGAATTTGAATAAAAATGCATCACAGTAATACAAACAAAGAATGAAAGGGCTTAGTCACTGTATTTATTTCAACATAATAATTGACCAAGCTTAACTTCCACTTGGATCTCTTTTGTTTACTTTTGGTATCATTGTGAGCTTTGAACTTAAAACCAGAAAAGAAAAAATTTCTTACATTGTGTACAAATTCTAAGCCACACTGACGAAACTTATACCTGAGAGATGAAATCACAATGTAAAATTACACCTGAGTGAAACAAGTGTAAGTTGAAGCAAAGCTATGACCCCTACAACTTTAGAGACAGGCAGTAATACCACAGAAGTGAGTTAAATAATGCAATTCAAGCTTTTGAGTCTACAGTTCTTAAGCTGGCTATCAATATTACATGTATTGACAGGACACATTTATTGTAGCAAAGCATGAGTGTACTCTAGATAATTTACATGTGAACCTTGACAAAATGTGGGGTGCCTGTTTCTTGCATCACTTAAATGGCCACAGACTCAAAAGTTGAAACCACATTTCTCTAGGTGAAAGGTTGTTTAATTCTCGCCTGCAAATAAACCTGTCTCTCCTCGCTCTGTCCCTGCTTGGGACTTTTTTTCAGGCCACCTAATCAGACACTGCACAGATTTTACACATACATTATCAGTATGGCATTTCTGTCATTATGGAATGGACGTCTCTCTTGCAGAACGGCCCTAGCAACAAGGAGCAAGGAGAGATGGCTGTATTCGCAAGCTAGGTTTAATCTGGCACATAGCCAACCTCCTTTGCCTGGGAGTACAGATAATGCACAAAGTAATGTCCATGTATTGAACAAAAATAGTGTACTCACCTCTGACCAACTGAATACATTTGACAACATAAGTATGAGGGTGATGTACGGTGATCTCAAATCCTGCAATCATTCAAAAACTTTTTGATCAATATGCACCACCCCATAGCAAGTTTACCGGTGAATGCAGGGTCACATGTAGTTATGACTAGGAAGAAAAAAATGCGCACACTTTAAATTACTAATGAGGGAACCTTAATAAGATTGAAATGTTAAAACATGGTCTCTGAACTTTACACAGACAATAATTGGCGACAGTGTAAAACTCCCAGAAACTTCCCAGTTACACGTTTCACGGAGGAAATGTCGTCAAGTTTTAGTTCACTTGTTTTTTCACTGCCGCTCATTCTCTGTGACACCTTAGTGGCCGCTAACATTTCTCATTTTCTCACCACAGCTACAAAAATTTCATGTTGTTCTTCCAAAATAAAATGTCTCCTTTTTTTTTATCTCTCGCTCTAGCTCCCTGTCGCTCTTTGTCTTGTTGAGCTTCGCTGGCCTGGTACGTACTTTCTCTTTCTCTGCTTCAAGACACTGGTGGCTATGCGATTTCTTGCCAAAATAACCTCGAGTTGCTATACCTGTTGATTGAGTTATTTTACACTGGTATGCCTGTGGTGTGGATGGACGGGCTGTCGGTTAGTCGGTCGGTTGGAAATACAGTCATGTGATTACCAAAATCTCCCTGATGGGTAGACAAATGCATTTTCTTAGGTATGGGGCTACGCTCGCGTGCGCATGGAGCCCTGCTATCAATGTGTATCTCTGTTTTTTCTTTACCTAGAGTTTGTAACAGGATGCTTTCATTTTCAACCAAGTCTTGAGCTTGTTGTAAGTATTCCTGAATGCAAAAATACACCTTAATCAATAAAAGGGCAGTACATGTATTTTGTCCCAAAGGATAATGCCGGTGATAAGAAAAAGAGCAACAATTTAACTGTGTTGAAATAAGCAAAAATACAGTCATGGTACTTTAGTGTAACCCTCATACCATACTCAAATACTAGACAAGCCAACTTTTTTCAAGTCAAATGTGTGAGATTTTCACCTTGTGTCATGACTGGAGTTTCCGAACATGTCACAGGGACTTCAGTATATTACTGTCGATTTTCAAAGACTTCTGAATGTTGTTGAAAATGTCTGAAGTTGTTCCACCGACCTTTGAGCACTTCCAAAGCTACTTCAAAGGCAACAGTTTAGGTGTGTTAACACAAGATCAACCTTAAGGGTGCTTTTCTCTTCTGAATCATGCATGAGAAATTGTCCTTGATGCGTGACATCGATGTCAGAATCACCCATAATGCATAAAAGTTGGCTTGCATAAGTAAAGTACATGTACAAACCTTGATTATCCAATAGCCCGCTTTCAATATATTAAAATTCTAACATGACTCCGAGGCTTTAGGGTCAAAACTGCAAATTTTTCATGACTCCATTGTCTCACCATTCCTAGAAGAGACTTGAGCACAAAGAAAACCAAACCAAATACAGAAAAATTAGCAGAAAGCCTCAGAGTCATGTTAGAATAATATTATTTTAATATATCGAACGTGGGCTATTAGTTTTTAAAGAAAAGCACAATAATGTAAATTAAACGAATATAATCTGCTTGTACCTCACTCTTAAGATCCAATGGTGGAGCATCTCTGTGTAGACAGGCATGAGCCACCTTAAGAACGTGTTCCAATTTACGCGGCTGTTCTTCAATTTTAGCAGCAAGGAAAAGACAACATGGAGCCAGGTGCTATGAAACAGTACAAATGAATACAATAAATAGCCAAGAGACTTGCTTTCACACTTCTACAAGTCTAAAACACAAATTAACGTAAAGGATTTTTATTAAATAACTGTCCAGACAATTTAAGTCACAACATTCTGTACAAGAATGGTTAAATATTCCAGACTGTACAAAACTTTCGTATAGGAAAACCTGAACAAAGTTAAATTACCAAAGGCCAGATAGGCGTTAGGTGAGTCATAGACACCTCCAAAAAGAAAAACGGAAATTCTACAGTTAATCATATTAAAAATAATTATTGTGGTAAAATACAACGCAAATGGAAAAGCTTACATTTCGATGGAATTTACTGAATGAGTGGAACATGTAGAACCGGTGCATGTACACAATTGCGGTGTTAATTGTCAGCTGGCTCCTACACAAACTGGTTAAGGAATTCAAAAATGCGGTAAAAGTATTAATTTATCGTTCAACTAAGAAAAAAAATCGCATCTTGAAGTCTACTTCGTTGGCTTAACTAACACTGCAACTCTGCAATAATTATGCAATTTTTCGTAGACGAACACTTCACAAGAAACGACTTTTTGCGAAAGGATACACGGAAAGACGCTGCCCCATATCTTGAATCAGCGTTGCCGCTTGTTGCCTGTAACTTTGCTCCTTCTCTGCGTCAATTCCATTCTTTCGAGATGGTGTATTTTGTAATTGTTCTTTGGTGAAATAAAACCGGTCCGTCGTACTCACGGCACTGGTCGCCATCTTGGATTGACTGGAAGGAAATTGCGCAAGCGCAGTTTTACTCGCCTCAGCCCTCTCTCGTTTTCTATTCATTTCACGCATGAGCACTGCGTACCAGGCAACAAATGATGACAAAAATAAAACATGGCGGATGGTGGTTCTTTAAGAGCCAAGCAAAGCACAGCTGCTAATTTCAGAGCTCACTGTCACAAGGAGAAAGGAAAGAGGGAAATACGAGCTTTTTTAGACGGTGTACTTAGTCTTCAACATCCTTTTGACGCGGAAAGACAAGAATGGTGTCTGTGGTTAATTGCTGGAGGAAGGCCTCCGGAGGAATTTAGAAATGTGTTACGCTCTTACGACACACCAACTATTTGTGGTTTGGTATGGAATAAGAATTTTGTGGCGTATCGTTGTAGAGATTGTGGCATTTCTCCTTGTATGTCATTATGTGCGGATTGTTTTCACGCTGGAAATCATGAAGGACATGATTTTAATATGTTCAAAAGTCAGGCTGGAGGAGCTTGTGACTGCGGAGATGAGGATGTTATGAAAAGAGAGGGGTGAGGAACTAACAATGATTAGTTTATTCGTTATTTCACAGGGGCAAATTTTGCCTTTAATGTTTTTGTTTATAATCAGACTATATATTCCTTTTTTAAAATTCCAGCTAAATGTAAAGATTAGGCAATTACAGAATTCTGTTGCGTTGTTGATAGCTTTCATTTGTATCACATCATCACCTTTACTATTTTGCTTTAGAAATTGAAAGTTCTTGGCTAAGTTTATTACATTCCATACCAATTGTAGTATGTTATGAACCCAGAGCTTTTAATGCATCATAATTCTTAGAGCAATGTTTTGCTGTTAAATGTAATCAGTTTATAAGCTGATTTTGATTGCTTTTGTTTATATTATGCAATGAACTACATGTATAAACCTTCCACTCCCAGATTTAATGATGGAGTCTTTTAACTCTTGAGTATGTGGATGAAATAGATCGCCCCATATAAGGGAATCCAAGACAGTCTTGGATTCTGGATTCCATGCCGTGGATTCCAGATTCCAGGTACTTGATTCCAGTCTTTGTCGGTAGAACTTGGATTCTGGATTCCATTCCTTTGTACGATTTCAGATTCGTTGAGCTGTATTCCAGTTTCCAAAGCCCAGGGTTCTGGATTCCACAAGCAAAATTTTTCCAGATTCCGGAATCCCTTACACTTGGCAAAATGGACCGTTCCATGGGTTTTTTGACTTTTGTCTGGGACCAGGTAGCAAAACTCCATCAACATGGCTTGAAAGAAAGCCTTAAATCAGCAAATTTGCTGTGAAAGTGATTTGTTGAAAACTAAGAAAAATATAGCTCCGCAGAGTCGTGGTGGGAGGCAAGTTTGTGCCCCCCACCATACAAACGTCTGTAAAAGTAATATTGCAGTTTTGTGGGGTAATATATTTGCTGTCTTTGGATGTTTCACCTTTAAACTTGGTAGGTTACCTTATTTTAAAGCCCTCTATCGAGCAGTGTTGATGGATATTTGCTTAAATATACTGCTCTTTATCAAAAGTTAAAAGAAAGGAAGGGTCTTGCATCTTTGACCATTTATTTTTTATTTTAATAATATATGATAGTCAGCATTTTACAGTTCCAATGTGCAGTTTTTGTGTAATTTCGACTTTGGCAACTTCTGGGAATGAAAGGGTAAAAACTGAATTTGATACAGGTTTACACAAACACAAGTCAGGCGCCATGGGTCACCGGGCACTGCTAAAGTACAGCCTTGACTTAATCACTGTAAACTATATTTTGCATCTGGTGATTCTACATGCAAGTGACTTCTGATTATCTTTCCTCGATTCGGTATGTGAAACAAATAAATGAATGAAAGATGAATTTCATTGGTGATTGTACCCATCCGCAACACCATGAAACTACCATAATAATATTGAAGGGGTGCATTGAATAAAGCTCTACAGTGTAAGCAACTCTTGATATTTTGTTAAATTCTCCTTTAGCTTTCAAAGAGGTTATCAAGAAGAAGATTCTAGCCTTTTTGTCTCTATGAACTCCTTCAATTGGTTTACTATTGACTAGATCTGTGATGCATGTTCCTGTGTTCCCTGACATATGCTTGTAACATATGCTCTATACAGGAGCTCAGATAAAGGGGCTAAAATTTATCAACAAACCATTTCATTACAGGTTTTGTCATCGGCATGGAAAAAAGGATACCACTGTCTCGAAATCTCCACCTCCTGAACTGTTAGCCATGGCTCAAATTGTTGTTCCAAGGCTCTGTGTAAGGCTTCATCAACAGCTAAAAGAACTGGAACCATACACAATAGGTACATGTACATAAGTCATTCACCTGATAACAACTAAGGCCCGGTTCAGACGCCGATCTTTTGTTGAGCCGAACCTAATACATTTAATTAAGTACTTGAAAAGTTATTTCAATTTGGAACGGCTCAGCTGTTCTTCATGCCTAGCCTGGCCTGGCTCCGATTCAGACGCCGAACTTTTCATGTACCGAACCTAGAGCATGAAATAATTATAATAAAGTATTTTGCAAGCAGTTTGACCAAACTGAACATTTTTCTCATTTTGAATTTAGTTCGACTGGAATTAAGATCGGCGTCTGAATCAACTCAGGCTGTCTAAATAGTTTGGGTCTGCCTTAATTCGAATTAGGCACAGCTCGTGAAAGTTCAGTGTCTGATTCGGGCCTAAGAAAAATTGACTTGGCTTTGTAGCGTTAACACAATTACTGGTAAACCAGCAGTTAACATTGTGGCCCACAAATCCTGAAGGACAGAAATATATGTAAACATAACATGGTTAAGAATTCCAGCTGTCTAGAGGCAAACCACTTGGCTATTTCCTTCAAGCATGACCGAGAAGTTACACCTGGGACTACTAGGAACAAATCAAGCTAGCGGTTAGGGCGTGGATTGAACTCTGGGCCTTCAGGTTGAAATTTCAGCAAACTAACTAAAATCGGATTAATGTAGGTTTCTGGGAAACTGCCCACCTACCCCTTCCCTAAGCCATCATTTTGCCTAAAGTGAGAAGTAAGTGTTAATGTTAGTTTAGGGGAGGGGTGGGTGGGCAGTTTCCCAGAAACCTAAATTGATCTCTAATGCATGCTGCCTCCATAACTACTAACTGCCAGCCATTTGGCTCAGTGGGAAATGTGCTGGTCTGCTTATTAAAGGGACTGGTTCACGATAATGCGCATGCGCGCCGTTTGTCTCTTCAGAATAAATTTGTTGGGTCAACACTAAATTCGAAATCGCCATTACCGGTACAATCACTGAAAATCCTTCGTTTTATTCGGACATCCGCCGCTTTGGCTGGTCTAGTTATACTTCGGTAGTGGTGATTAACGTGTGGTTGTGTCGTTTGACTGGTTACGTTTTAAGAAGACGCAAAAAATAATGTTTTGATCATGGAGGTTCAGAAGAGCATCGTGGCCGTCTGGCAACAGGACGTTCTCAATAGTCTTTGAAGATAGAGAAGCTTAGCCTATCGATTTGGTATGGTTCTAGGAGTAGTGTGTGGCTTACGAAAAGTATACACGACACTTTGAAAGTGGTTAAAGGCATGAGTTCGTTCAACTTTGATTTGATTTTTGACTCCGACCTGTAGTTATACCGCAACGGGCATGCGATCTTCACCGATCTGGTACACTTGAAATTTTCCTTGTATCTTTGCTTTACGATCGTATATGTTTAAGAATTGATGTTTTTAAATAAATTATTGCCTGAGTATTCTGTTTATAATCTAGTTTCTTTATTTGTGCTACTCGATAACATTTGTTTTTTATGGAACACTGACCTGATGCAACGCGAATGAATTTGTTCATTTGCTGATAAGCATTTGAAATTTATGCTCAATTAAGGATAATCTTTATACTCATACGTTGTATGTTTTTTTGTCACCGGTCAGGAGCTATTTGTAGGTATTTCTGGATTTATATAAGACGAACTGAGAGAACAGTAACAAGATGTTTGTTTACAAATTTTGTTTGCCGATCGGTGACTGCTTTGTTAGCGTGGGTACGACCTCGTAAAAATACACGTTGGTAAATGTTTGTTTCAAAGCAGGACAGGGCTGTAAATCTTATTCTAATCGGCTGCAACATATATCTGAGGAGTAGCAAAGAATAAACTTGAATTATGGGGATAAATAAAATCAAACCAAATGCCCGGAAATACTCTTGCGTCGCGAACAATTAATTTGAATTTTGTAAATTTACTTGCATGCATCTAACTCGCTTCCGATTGGTTGAAAAACAATCAGCTACTGTCAGAACTCACACATGCGCATTATCGTGAACCAGTCCCTTTAAGAAGTCATAGGTTTGTCCTGGTCAGATCACCGTCCAGGGCAGGGCTTGAAAAAAATCGAGTCTATGTATACTGAAAGATATGGACATGTAGATTTCCTTGCTTGGCAAGTAACTTTTAAAGCTCACTTATGAAATGAGCAAAGGCTCAGCCAAGTCATTTACCAACTAAATCATACACTTCATGTAAGACAAGCAAAATATGAGAGCTGCTTGTCCAGATGGCATGCTGAAAGGTTTCTTTGAGCCCCTGCAGAGTCTTTTAACATTGTTCCCCCTAAATTTTAGCTCAGCAGGTAAGGGACCATTCATGGCCAGTACAGGCGCACTTTCCTGGGGGGAGGGGGGCAGTGGAGCGAGGGACATGGCCCCACCCTTGCTGGGTAATATAGGAGCTAAGTTCTCTGAAACGTCATCCCCTCATTTTAAGACCTATTTTACACAAATTGGCCATTGTCATCTCAAGACAACAATTTAAAATGGTTGGTTCCAATAATTTTACTCTGTCTTCAGTGTTCTCTTTCCAAAATGTGTGGCCCATAATAATTTAGTTCTTTTCCATATGTATTTATTCATTTTCCTTGTGAGAATCTGATCGGATCAAACTTTCCTTTTTTGAAAATCTACTATCAATTTTAGTAAACCTTCAAGTGGTTGCGGGTGGTTAGAAGTGTTGCTTCAGCCAGTAAATTTTTTTTACCGGTTACCGCCTGATAAGGAAAACACTGTCATGAAGGTTGCAACAAAGCCCTTTTCATTTATTGTAGTTTTATTTATTATTTATCCATTTATATTTACTCAAGGGCCTACAGTGTACATGTACATCGTATACTGATCTCTGCATTTTACATTTCAGATCCATTATCGGATGATATGAATGATGCTAAGGTCCTGGTGAATTTTCTTGTTCAGTTATGTGACACTAACACCATGAAAACTATAGCAGCTGAGTCATTGATGATGAAAATCATGGATGTAGAAAGAACTTTAAGGGAAAGGAGAACTTCTTATACTGCTTCTTGTACCTCATCATTTCGTAGCCCTTCACTTTCATCAATTGGTAGAATGGGTAGTTCAAGTTCTTGCTCAAGTGTCATGTCTGCCGACAGTATGGATGACTTTGCTAATGTAACATTTTTGGATTTTTTGATGGACTTTGTGACACAATTTGAATTTCCAGAGAAAATGGTCACATTTCTTCTTCATCTGTTGCCAAATGCAGACTACAAGGTACATGCAACTAGGTAGTTAATGAATAAACCAATTTGATCTGATCAGTTTATTTTAGAACTGGTACATATCATTTGCAGTGTTTTGGCCAAAATGTACTCTAAAAAATGGTTCCTCCATCTAGATGAAGTTATAGAGTTGAAGACAAAGTAAATAAAATTCATTATGGTGATACACTTATTTATTGTTTTAACATTCCACTGATGTCTCAAAGTATGGACCTGTGGAGGAGAAGTTGCAAAATATTTTTCCAAGTCCTTCCAAGAATCCATGCAAAATAAAGGAACCCTGATCCTTTCAATCTCTTCCTTTTTTGTCTTGATTAAAATCTGTGAACATATTATCCCTTTGGCAGCATGCCTTCAAGGTCTGATGGACAATTGAAACGAAAACCAATTTTGATCGAAGCATGTTATAATCCATCTAAACACCAAGTAAATAATATCTGGTGATAATTCATCTTTATAGTCATGTGTTATCTGTCTTAAAAATAATTTTATCATGTTTATTTGGGTTTGTATTTTCTAAGATTTTTAGTTGCAAATGTGTGGTTATTGGCAACATTCCATAAATATTGTTTGGGTCATAAGATGTGAGACTTAATCAGCTACATTTACATGTCAATGCATGAATTTTTTACACATATAGATGTTTGCACTATATAAATGATGTTTATTATTATTATTATTATTATTATTATTATTGTTACTTCTTCTTCTTCTTCTTCTTCTTCTTCTTCTTATTATTATTATTATTATTTTCAACAGGAAGCATTTACACGAGTATTTTGTCAGAATTATCAGAAGATAGCCAAGGCTCTGGTACAAAATGGTGACCAGCGTGCTGTGGAGCAGTTGTCAAACCGTGTGGTTCATGTCAGTGTTCAGTTGTTCAGTAACAAAATCCTTGCAGAGAAAGTAGTACAGGAGCAGAATTTACTGCAAATCATGGTCAAAGTTTTACATGACATGGCAAGACCTTTGCTGCAGCCATTTAGGCGTGGAGGTAAGAGAAACGTTTTTATCAGTTTTGTAGAGAAAAGTTTGAGACTGACTAAAGCCATATGAGGGTTACATGCATGTATGCCTACCGAATACACTGCTTTTGTATAGTCAACTCTTTCTGAAAAAAACACCACCTAGACTGACTAAGTGTTCTATGAAAAGAGCTTGGAGACAAAGGAAATTGAGTATCAAACTAAGTTGAAACCATTTTGACCTGAATTTCATTTTAAGGTATGAGATGTATTTTAGTGGGGTATAGTCATGTAAAAGTTTCTGTTGATAAAGACGTGACTGTCCTCATAACTAGACTATGAACAAAGCTGGACTGGTGTGACAGTCTAGATATGATTATGAGTGCAAGATCAGGTTTTAGCGTGGCGTAAAATGCCGAAGTCCTTACAGGAATGAATTTCAGTTTTTCCTGTTTCTGACCAGCAGATAGAGACATAAGGGATAAGAGTGTCCTAAAAAGTTACCATCAGAGGCGCATAAACTTCCGTGTTGTTTTTATTAAAAAATAATACTTACCATTGCCCTCAATCTTGCACTCATATCCAAGTCTGCTGATACTGACTCCCTTTTTTTTTACAGACATGGTTTCCAACCACGATGTAGTGGATTGTGAAGGTCCCACCCTTAAGAATCATTGTTACTGGCCAATTGTAAGTGATTTCATCAATGTCCTGTCACACAAGACAATAGCAGAGATGTTTATGCAGAACAGAGATCTCATCAAGCAATGGCTAAAGTTCATTGGACACTTGACAGGTTAGGTTGTTTCTGGGGAGGTTACTAGTACTCTGTTAATGTTTCAGCGTGTGTAGTGGTATTATTACATAGTGGGAGCTTTCTTATTGGACACTCTCATAAGCCAATGGCTCTCACCTTTACAAAACCTTGTTTTTGTCAACTCCCATACAAACTCTATATTTTGTTACCTTGTTCCACATAATAAGGGTTTTTTAAATTTTTGTTCATTTAGAATCATAATTTGCATTCCCAGTATCATACATGTAGTTTCTATTTTATAATGATTATTATCTACCGGGTATTGTTTTACACAGGAATGAACTTGAACAGCCGTAAGCTTCTGCGACATATTGAGTTTGAGCCAAACACATACTATACAGCATTTGCAGTGGAGCTGGAAGCTGCATCATCACCGCTGTGGAGCTTTGTTAATGCTTGCATAACTCTGGTATGTTCCTGATCATCATTACAGTTATACTCAAGTTAACCCTACTACTCCCAACATTGGTCAAAGTGTAATTTGACAAAAAAAAATCCAAACATCATTTTCTAAAATGCTGAAAAACAAAATAGTACCATATGAATGTTAGGGATCTCTTTAAGGGCTGGGGGGCAGAGATTTCCCCCGGCTACATGACGATGGGTATGACTTCTTAGCTACTTTCACGGGCAACAAGAGAGAAGAAGAAACAAAAGAGATTCCCAGCTGTTCAATTTCCTGCCTGGTAATTGATTGCACATACACGTACAGTGCCTGGTAACCTTTGTTTTGGTGATGACCAAGCAAAATTTTCTTTTGTCCGACCAAGATGGTGTCTGAGTGGGACATAATAAAATTATGTCCATTCAAGGGAAAAAAATTATTTGCAACCCTGATACTTAGAGGTTAGAAAAATATTAGAGATTACTTGCACTACAGATCTTTATAACCCCCTAGAACAGAACAGAGTAATGAATTTTCTTCCTTGAGGACGGGTAGATCTGGTTTTAAAAAGTTACCTTTTGTACCTGTTTCAGAAAAATATCCAATGTGTCCAGAACATGATTAGTGGAAGTATAGATGCTCTTGAAAGATGGTACAAGAAGGTTGACAGCAAGGTTAGTGTGTCCATAATCAATTTGGAATGGTTGCATTAAATGTCGAGATATTTGTAGACAAATTAAAATATTGAAGTTCATCTTATTTTTGTTGTAGCCTCAGCGAGGAGAAGTAACTTTTCATCTTCCTCTTCATCGACATCTTGCTGCATTTATAAGCCTGGTAAGCATTTTACGGTACATGTATATTTTTGTGATTAGTATTACTTCATACAGTGTACATATTGTAGCTATAATATTATATTTTGTGTATTTAATATTTTTAAATAAAATGTGAATTCATCATGCGATGTGCAGTGGGACTAGCTCAGTTGGTAGAAGGCTTCACTGCTAAACAGGAGTTCGCAGGTTCAGTCCCTGCGGTCAGACCAGCACTCTGGTCTTAAAGGTACTGCCTTCGCCCTGCAAATGGATAGAATTTGGCTTGGCTTGGATGACCACATAAAATGGTGGCTCTGTCTCCAGAAGTAGAAATAAAATAGGAGACATAAAAATAGTGTCCTCCATTAGTACTATCCTGCTGAATGCATTAAACACATAAAGTGCAATTTTTTCTCTTTAATACTAGGCTGTATCACACTTTGATGTTCCCTTGGAGCAAGTGATTCCTTCACATCATTTGTTGAGAAGCATTTGTGAAGATCTTTTGCACATTCAGGTAAAAGTAAAGAAATTCTCTCTAAGTGGATTCTTTGATCAAAGTTTTAAAGCTGAAGCATTATTTTTAGAAATGCCATTGTTGATCTACATGTACTTCTAAGTTGTGGGCCAAAGTATTAGTTGTGAACATGCCCCATTCCAAACTGTAATTTTCAACCCTATCATGAGACAAGAGTCTTGCCTCAAGGGCCAAATACGCAACACTTGTCTCTCAACTCAAGACTCTTGTGACCTTGTAAGAGGGTGGCAACTTACTTTACAGTTCTGTTCATGTAATTTAGTGAAGTATCAGGGTGAGAGAAATACAGTACTTTTGTTGCAATATAAATTGGTTTTGAGAGACCAGTGACACCAAAGGAGGGCACCCCATACCTAAAGAACATTTTTTCCATTGAATCTATTTCTTTCAACAAGACCAAATATCATATTGACATCAACTAAATGTATGATTCACAGGCTGCAATTTGTGAAATCCGCGCTGGCAGATGGGTGCGCAATGGATCTCAAATCAGAAGTCAAGTTCGATTATATGTTGAGTGCCATTTCTGCAATTCAATACAGGATTTGGATATTTTTCTGTTGCAGGTGAATTGTTTTGAAAATTTCTTTTCTTGGTTTTTGTTGTCCAGGAATTTTTGGCTTTTTTGGAAACAAGGTCGAAGATAAATATAATACCTTGAAAACTAAACCTTTTGTATAAAAGAATCACTTCTGATTTGTTTCAGATCTGTGCCATGTTTTTGGATCCTGATGTCTTCATTGATATCATGATTGAGAGGTTTGTTTAATCTACTGTACTTTTTGCCTTTCTGAGTACAGGCAAGATGATGATGAATGATGATGATTATGAATTCATGGTATTCCTTTTAAAACAGTGCTAATATTATCACTGGCCATAAAATTTTAAAAAATGGATTTCCTTTGTCAGTTAGTCATTGTTATTTTTTTAACCTTTAGTTTCAGTCTAACACACTGGTTTAAGTTTGGCATGCCAGTTGTGTCCAGTCCTCCTTGTTTTGATGTTGACACAGAAGTATCCATGGTGGAAGGAATGCTGACTCTACTCATCACTCTTCTCAGCACAAGACTACATTTAGGTAACACTACTGCCTTTTGCTCATATTTTTTCCACATTTCAAAATCTACATATCTTCAGTTTAGGTTTTTTACACAGAGTTAGCTCTGTTGCCCGCAGAGCGGGTTCCAAGTAATGGCTTCCCTTGCTTGCCTAGTCAATACACCTGTACAAAGTAGATCTTGTGCAGCTTGCAGTCATGTGACCTCCCTTATATTGTACATGGAATTTTTCGGGTTAAAGTGAAGACGTCTCTTGCAAAATGTCCCCAGCAGCTAAGAGCAATGAGATGTGGCTTTATTCGCAAGCTCTAGTCATAATAACATTAACAGAATCGAAAAAATTCTACAGCGCATAACTTTAAGGATTGATGTATCTCCTAAAAGATGTAACATTTTATTATCTTGATTTTTTTTCCAGGTCTTACTGAAAAAGAAATCTTGCGACAAGAGATGGTAGCTCAGCTCTGTATGGGAGACAAAACACACAGTCAATTGCTCGATCTCATATCCTTTTTGCCTTGAATTTCTGTGATGTCACTATCCACCCAGCCCCGGTTGTTCAGACTTTAGATACGGCTATCAACCGGATAAATCACCATGAAGTGGATAAGTATTAGGGAAACCAATATTCCATTATCCAGTGAGTAGAGATTTATCTGCTGGATAGCATCATCCAACTTTCGAACAACTGGGGCCAAAATAATATTGTACATGTTAGGCATATTCTCCAGCTATTGCCTGGGAAGAAAATTGTTTGGGAAAAAACAAACAAAAAACAAAGTTTGGACAATTTTTGTAAGACAAAGAAAAGGTGCCTGATTGGGAACTACTGAAAACTGTATGAGAGCACAATAAAAAAGAAATACAAAAAAGTTCATAAAAGGTTAGATTGATAGGGAAAGTTGTTAAGTCAGCTTTCAAACATAATTTGTTTAGGTGGATTTAAAATCATTGGCTCAACCCTTTTTGCAATCAAGTGTAAAAAGGGTGATATTTTTTGTTATGAAGCCATGAGACATGCTAAACCAGGTAAGTTTAAGAGCTTATAATAATTGACAAAATTTTGGAAACTGAACTAAAAATATATTAAATGGCAAAAGAGTTCCCCCCCACACACACACACACACACCTAAATTACATTATTTTCTTTAACATTTTGCACATTCCTGATAAACCAGGACAATCTCACAACACGCAGGATTTTGAAAGCACACTTAGTGAGGTAAGGTTTTTTTTTACAGTACCTGAATGTTGAGAGGGTTGGGGTACACTTTGTGAGGTAAGATGGGGTCACACTTATGAGGTAAGATTGGGGTCACACTTAGTGAGCTAAGATTACTGTCTACAGTACCGGGATATTGAGAGGGTTGGGGTACACAAAGAGACAGGGTATAGCATACATACTTGGATGGGAGGGGAAGGGGTTGGGGGTGGAGGTGATCGCAAAACTTATGTATAAAGCATATGTAGTAGGTAAAATCTGTTCTGAGGTTGCTTTGATATTTTCTGGTAGATTGAAATAACAATTTTGTGATTTTGATTCTCAATCCAAGCTGGCAGATTACAGAGGTCCAAGTTTTGAGAGTGGATCGATGCAGCAGGGCATTTACATTCCCAAAGGTAGACTTCTTTGTAGGGGCTTTTTCCTCCCAGTAAAATCTATTTTAAAATCCTTGACAGCCTCTTTTTTCTTTTGGAGCAATGGCTGACTCATAAAACAGGGCTTGTCTGAAATAGATTCTCTTCTTTAATTAAAAATATATCCAAAAATGACAACAGTCATAATTTACAGCTGATGCTTGCAAGAAGTGTGACAAAATATTATTTTTGTTAAATAGAAGTGGTTATAAAACAATTTTGCTGTATTTTCCGTTTAGATTCTGTTTGGAAGAATGATTTTGATTTCATTCATGTGCTATTAAGAGCTGTCCAACGCCAAGATGTACAATCATCTATGGAGCGTTACAAAGCAAGGTGAGTAAATAGTTACTTCTCAATCTTTTTGTTAACTGATTTGTGAGACTGTTGACTGTTAACTACCTGTTTATCAATTATTTTAGGAGATCAGAAATCCCTTCATTTCCCATAACAGGGTCCTGGGCTTAACACTGGTTTTATCAATTGAGTGTTTAAAAATTCAATTTACCACTGTACAAAGATTGGAATCAAATGAAGAAGGATCTTTGCAGTTGTGAACACAATTTATGTGATTGCTTAAGAAGCCTGAAAAAAATTCAGGACTTCAACGGAATTTGAACCTGTGACCTTGCAATACCAGTGTGATGCTCTAACCTACTGAACTATGAAGCCACTGATGTTGGGAGCTGGTCATTTATGTGTTTATTGTTAATTATTTTATGAAATAAATCATATATTTTTTTATGTGTTTATTTTTAGACGAAACTGAGGTCTAAAGGGCCAAAATTTTTTTTTTTTGAGACTGGGCCCCCCTTGTCTCAGATCTCAGAGACTGGATGACCAGCCCCCCCTCCCCCTCCTGAAGGTCTGGATCTGCCAATGAGAGCTTGCTTGCAGGCTAACTTTTGAGGGTTTAGTTACATAACTTCCAGATAATGAAAGTTGCTTGTACAGTATTTTGTTTTCCATATTTTTGCAGTGCTTGTAAGAATGGATCACCTGCAAATGGCCCACTCTGGCCTCCATTTTTGCCACTGAAACCACTCTGTGCAAAGTTCAGTCGATTAACACAGTTTCTCCATTCAAAGAAGCTACATGGAATACTGTTTTTCATCTTTCACAAGGTAACAGCTGATTTATCATGGTTATTCAGTGCTATGAAATTTCTCCAAAAATTCTGAGGTTTAGCTCTCATGACTGTATTTTTTCAAAAAGTTTGCTTTCTGGCTTTGATTGATCTATAGTTTAACGTTATTGTAATGAAGTATTTCTAGTTATAAGGTTAGATTTCAAATAGGTTTTAGTGTTGGTTGGCTTCCTTGTGTCTTCAGGATAATTGTTTACAACCAGTAAATTGTGAAGTCAAGGATCCAAGGCATTTTAAACCCATGGCCTCTCATGTATGATACAAGCAACAGGGACCCTTGGAAGGACCTTAACATCTGATCCTTGGTTTCAAGTGTTTCATGGTCCTCAGGTTAACTTTACCCCTTTCACTTTTTGACCACATTTTGGTGAGATTTTTTGCCACTCAAACTTTTAAATCTGTAGGTGCAATCCTATGATGTTACCATTCAAATGAAACCTCAGACTTTAGCAGTACTTTCACATTGTTCTATAGATTTAGTATGTAGTTCTCACTTTTGAGTCTGTGGATGGAATCCCATGGTTTTACCATTCAAATGAAACCTCTTCAGCAGTACTTTCACATGGTACTATCGATTTTGTGTGTAGTTTTACCTTTTAAGTCTGGAATGATGGAATCCTATGATGCTACCATTGAAATGAAACTTTTTTGGCAGCACAATTGCATTGAATCCTTTATTTCTTTGGATTTTGCAAAGAGAAATTTGATATTTTTTGGGAATTCTTTCTTTGGCCTTTGAACTTAGGACTCTAAAAGTCATTATAACTCTTTTGAATTTACTTTCCCCTTTTTTTTCTTCAGGCTGTGGAAGACAGTAGCTCCTTACCAGATGCAGTCTTGTACTCTTCCATTTATCTGACAAAGCTAGCTATACTGGATGCACTTAAAATCTCCCATCTTGTAAGTTGAGTTAAATTGTTAGACTGGAAGTGACTTGATATATTAATTTTGGCAGAAAAAAAATACGCACTGATATTTTACCAGGCTCCAATAAGCTGCTCTCTTGGGTCTGGTCGTGTTCCTCCCTTAGAAGATTCTTTTTGGGGAAGAGCACCAGCTCATTTTCTGAACAGCGGGTAGTAATTGAGCCTAATATTTTTCATGGTTTTCCTGTCCAAACGGAATGGATACAAAGAGATTAAATGACCAGGGGCCATTACATAAGAGGTAAGGTCAGACGTAACAACTATCATCTGGCATTTAAAGAGGAGTTTTGACTGGACGTTACTTCACAGTTGGCCCCAGTCGTTTTGAAATTTTTTCATTTTTAGTCTTGATGCCAGTGCATTCCGGGAAACTGAACAGAGTATGTGTTATTTACATATCCATACAGATGGCACCCGAAATGCAGTTGTCTCAATTTTCAGTATAATGTGTGTTCAGAAATCCACCATCACATTTTCATCATTGTGTCTTCATTTTGTCAGTGTTCTTTGCCTTGTGCAGCTGGCAGTCAGGACTCAAAGGAAATTGGCTGTATTATTGTGGATCGCTGCATTGACTTCCTCAACGTTCATGGTTTGTTAGCTTTTTAAGTGTTCTTGAGAATCCTCATTCAAGCATTATGTTGCTGTTAACTTTCTAAGCTTTCTAAAACCTTTCTTATAGAGTGGGACTAAAAGTGACCAAAATTTAAAAAAAATCGGGAATTTTATTTTGTGAACATTGCAACTTGTAGTATTGTAGAGTCTTTATGTACAAATTGTATAAAATTAATTTAAAATAAGAATTGGAATTGTCTTTATTTATTATTCATTTATTCATACGTATTTCACTCACGATATTAGCTTAATAGAGCTACTCTAATAATTTGAGTTGAAATAACGCGTATGTATGTATGTGTGCAAAAAAGGCAGTACTTTTTGAAAGCACTGCTCAATAAATATTATTCTAGTGATTTTTTTTAATACATCATAGGATTTGGGGCAAAGACTGAAAAATTAGAGGTCCATTCATTTTGCCTCAAGATGTGAACAGTTGATGATGTTGTTTTTGTTATTAGTATTATTATTGTTGTCATTATTACAACTGATTACTAGTCCAAAATAAGGACCTAATTGCGCTACATGCTCGGTTATTATTTTTAAGAAGGCCTCGGAGCTCATGCATTATCCTATATATAATTATGTTGTCCTCTGGCACGTTTTCACAATATGAATGTTCGGTTTTGTTAGGTATCGTTAGTGTGAGGATTATAGAGAAGTAAAAAACGAGCTATCCGTGCTTTTCTCAGTTAATGCCTTGTGTTTTTTTTACAGGAAAAGATGTAGAAGATCTCCACCAAATTGGTACCCATCACTTTTTAAATCGAGAACTGTTGTATAGGTTACAACAAGGTAAAGAGAATTACATCTCATCACACCGATTCTTAAACTAATGATTTAATAATAATACATTCTGGTCCAAAAAAAAATGAAAACAAACGCTAAAAAGAGGGACATTAGATGCAAGGTGTTTTTTTAGAACTGCTCATTTTGCTGCATCATGAATATCTTATAATCATAGCTGATTCAAGTTTAGATGTGAAAAGTCTTTAATATTTTCTGTCAGTTCAAAAGGAAGCTGGTTACAGGGGGGAAATTTTCAGAAACAAACCTTTTCTCAATCGTTGCAGTCATCTGTTTGTTGTTGTAGTGTTATGGTGTTGGATGATCAAGCCCCAATATTAACCAACATCAATTTTCTCGTAACAATATTGATACGTTGTTAAGAGAAAAGGTTATAAGAACAAATAAAATATCACTAAAGGGAAAATGCTTTGATCTTTTACCAAATTCTCTCGACTAATTTTTTAAGGAAATGTATGAAGATCAGTCTGGAGAATTTGTATGTTAATAATTTCTCTTTGTGACATTACAGATCCATATACACCTCTGCACCCTGGCAGACACTCTCCTCATGAGGTGTCAGCTGTTATGGCGGATGTTCTGCACAATCACCGTCTCATGAAACCAACTCTTTTTGAGCCCTTTCTTCAGTTTATGAGTGGTGTACTGACTAGTGCTCTCCGTAAGTAGTCCAACTTCTGCTGCTGTGCCGCTTTTATTGATATTTAGCCAAAAGCGTAAGAACAAGTAGCTTCCACCAATACAAACGATAAATAAAATGCAAGAAAATCTCAGCTAGTTGGGTAGCAGACTGGCCAGATCAACTCTCTTATTTTTCCCTTGTACTGAAAAATACGGCCAAATTTGAGAGTCGATGAATTGGTTTCCTGATGCATACCAGTATCTTGATTTCACTGACAAAGCAAGGGCAATGCTAGCATACTTTTTGTTCGTTAAATACTGCCCTTCTATTTATTTATTTATTTATTTTGAAATGATTAATATTGACACTGTTCTCGGATATTAGATATAGATGAAAGACAACAACGAGAAGAGTAACCACTCCTAGTGTTTATCTTCCATTGATTGTGTGAATGGGTAGGGAGAAGAGGGTACCTGGTATAGGACCTTAGAGTCCCGTTTGTGCCCATCCCCATGGGTCAATTCTGTGCCCATGAAGCTACAAAACACAACATTATCGATAGTATTGTGGGCGAACAAGCACTTCACTTCCTATGTATATATTTTTTATATACTTAGAAAACCAAAGCAGCACTCGAGAGAAAATCGCCCAACTACAACACATTCAGTTTCTTATAGAACAACAGCCTGTTCAAAGGCGAGAGCTTATCACAAAACTCACTCGACATCTTGTCAGGTAAGACCTCTCTTCTCTTTTATTCTCTCTTTTTGTTCGTTTTCTTCGCATCACGGGTTGATGCTCTGCTCGAACTTAGCGGCTACAAAATGACTGTGTGGGACAAATTAGGTGGGTCAATCTTTTGATCCATTTCTGCTGGACTCGATTCTCGCGGAAATCGAATTTTTTTTAGAGATATTTTGGCCAACAACCAAAAACAAAAAGTTGTTACTCTGGCCAGTGCCCAGGAGTATTGTAGAAGATTTCAGAGGATCGGGTGTAAGGCTTTCGAAGCCCGCGAAGCTTGTGTGGTTTACCCTTCCAATGACCGTTTGCGTTGACCAGTGACTTTCCCATGCTTCGTTATTAAAGCATGTAGGCGCGTGAGTACGAATCAGACATTGTATACAAATGTGCAGGTGAACGAATCAAAAATTGAAGTGAATATATGATGTGGGTGCAAAGCGCGGGAAAAAGTGTGTTATTGCATGCGACCCGTGTGAGCTATAATTAGTTCCTGTTTTGCACCTGACCCCATTATTCTTCACCTCGTTGCATCCTGTAGCAATGCAACACTCAAGCAATTCTCAAATTCATTTCGTATTAAAACTGCTTTAACCCTTTAAACCCTTAGATCAAAATTTGAATTCTCATTTGTTGCCCCTATTCATTTCCTACAGAAGTAGTGGGGAGAAGTTGATAAAATATCAAGCAAAGTCATCTTGTGTGATCTTGTCCGTAATTCTCATGATCACTCTGTTTTACAAAGCATTGATATTACAAGAAGAAATTTGATGCTGATCACTCCTAAGGCTTAAAGGGTTTAAGCAAGGTGTGCATTACTTGAGAAAACACTGCATGTAAGGAGGTATCCCTGCGTGGAAAGTTACCCTGTCCTTCGTATATATCTTCAGATTAGCAAATTCATCATGAAAAACGTCACGAGTAACATAGCCTTGATTGCGTTTTTTTTGTTTGCAATTTATAGTATCTCTGAAAGACTCAATGTACCGCCCAAGAACCTGGCATTTGCTACTGATCAAAACCAGGTGTGTTTATCGTAACTCTTAGAATGGTCACACCATAGGATTTCATCCACAGACGCAAAAGAACCACCTTGTAGAGTATTATAAACTGTACTACAGGAAAATACTGCTCAGTAGCTTTCATTTGAATGGTCACACCATAGGATTTCCTTCACAGATGCAAAAGTTAGAATCGCCTCGTGACCCATAAAAGTGGAAAGTACTGATAGTGCTCAGTAACTTCCACTTGAGTGGACGCACTTAAGAATTTTTTCCTCACAATCAATGCCCGTGTATGGGTTGTCCTGCTCTCGCGAAAGTTCAAATTAAACACTCGAGTGTGTGAGTTGACTGGAGATAACTGAATGATTATTCAGATCTTTGAAAGTCTTTGTTTTACTTTTTCTTTTCAGCCATTCGCGTTGGAACTCTCCATGTTGCTGATGTATCTAAATAAATATCACGGGTGGCTCTTCAGAGTGAGAATCATTTAATCAATTTTAAATTTAAAATCTGAATAAAACATAAGCTGATTAATTACGTGTTTTTGTCGCGCGCCCGGTTTCTCGCATCCCTCTCGCTCCACGCAAGCGATATGTAGCTGTGGTACAATCCTGCTGTGAAAGCTTGTTTTGGTTGATCCTTGTTTCTAAATCAAAGCGCACTTTCGTCGTATGCATTTAATCTTCTTTCATGCGATACTGACAAATTGAGTGCTGTGGTTCTTAAAGTTGCCCCCAGTTCCTCCTTTCCTGGAGAGCGGTTGAATGTAAATTTTGAAGCCCTTTATACTGGTAGATGTTAATAGCGATTTTAATTCAGTTCTAACATCCCGAGCACGTGGCTGAATCACTCTTTCTCTCCGTTAAGTCGAAGGAGTACAGCTAGGTTTGACCAGGATCCGAAAGTGAACGGCTGAGAATGAGTTGATTGTGGGTTTGATATTCATCAATAACATTTCTTCCTTTTAGAGTCAAAAAGTTCCTCCTGGCTGGCCAAACACCATTAATGACCTCGGTTTTAACTCAACAAGCCTCGTTGTGAATATCAGTCACGTGGTACAGGCCGTGGAAGAGCCAATGGATACAAGTGAGAGCAGTGAGAGTAAGAAAGCAAGAGAATTCTTAAGATATTTAAACAAATTCTCCTTACTACTTCTATAAGAAGGAGAATTTGTATTTTAATATGGTCCAACTGATGGAATTGTTATACTGGAAAAACCAAATATCTATGAGTGTCACAATGTTTGTAAATTTGATGTTTCGGATGTATAAACCTTTTCAATGTTAAACAAAACTGTCACTTAACTGAAAAAGGATCACAAATCCAAATCATCTTTTTTTACAAATATTTATGGCCTCGGTTATCTGTGCACTCACACTTACAGGCACTGCTTCCACCAGCACTATCTCACAAACTGCAGAATCTGCGCGGAAAAGTGTCAATGTTTCCCTCGAGAAGCAGTCCTTGGGTTTCGTGGAAGGTGACCATTTTAGTGTAGAAAATACTGCAGCTTTTCAAGGCCTGGTGCGTCAGTTTATCAGTTTAACCAATGCTTCTAAGGGTGAGTTTATACTGTTATTTCACTTATTTTTTTGCTTTTCTCAATACTCCTTTTATGAAAAATTGGCCCTTCACTTGCTCAAAGTCACGTGACCTTAATGCAAAACTTGTGGGATACAACTTAAACAACACAGAGATGGGAGGGAAGCCAGAGTAGCGCAGAGAGAACACTGGCTTTCCACCAATGTGGCCCGGGTTCAAATCCTGACGTTGATGCCATATGTGGATTGAGTTTGTTGTTGTTTCTCTCCTTTGCTCCGAGAGATTTTTCTCCGGTTACTCCGGTTTTCCTCTTTCCTTAAAAACCAACACTTCCAAATTCCAATTCGATCTGGAACGAACGGACACGTTTCAATGAGTTCTCATGAATTCCTGAGTGCTCCGTGAGTAAACTAATTACACTTACAATTTACAATTAGATGGAAAGAACATGAAAAATATTACTAGAAAACGAGTTTTAGGGAGATTGACACAAAACGAAGGTTCTCTGGGATTTGGATGTTCTGTAATATGGAAAAACTTGTTGGAACGCAAGGCTTGCGGTTCAGCAAGTTTGATATGAAAGTGATTTGTTATTTTTATGCCAAGAAACAAGAAAGGATTGGCACTTAGCCTCGTTTTGATAGTGAGAGTTTTTGGAACTGGGAAATGGTCTCTTTAGTCTGACATTGACCGTTGGCTGATTGTTATTTGTTCAACAGTCAAGACTTTTCTCCCTTGTGGATGATATATATATTTTTTCACGACCTTTATGTGTGATTGAGCAGTGTCACTATAGAGCGTTTTCACTCACGTTACCAGCATCTATGCAAATTTATTGGATAAAAGAGAAGAGTTTATCTTCCACTGGATTGGTTTGAGACACCAACATGGCCGTAGCCTTTTCCAGGCGTTCAGGAGATGGTGGGAAGCGGTGCGAAGTGAAGTAGAGGGAGGACTTGGAAGGGCGGTGCGGGTTCCCTCACTCTCTTCTCCCCCCCACCCCCTCCCTCGTTTTCATTTTTTCGCGCTCCTCTTTGCTTTTGATCGCTCCTGTCAATCTGAACGCCTGGAACAGGATAACATGGCCGCGGTTTCATTGTTTTGGCACACCAATATGGAAGATGAGACGCCACACGAAAACCCTCTATGAGGCCTCTCTTAGGGATTGAACGTAGCCTCCCACGCAGGAAGGAAATACCACTCCCCTAAAAACGCCGGCGTGGGAGGTGAGATCGTACGGGGTAACCTCCATTTTCTTCACTAGGTATCGCAATTAACCTGCTGAGAGCCTGTAGAGGAAATCTTGAGGTGGCAATTGATATGCACTTCAGCAAAGAAGAAGTTCTTCCCGAGTTGGAAGTGGCTGTAGGCGATGTTGCTATGGAAACAAGCTGGTGTGGAACAGACGCTGAGGGTTCTTCATCCCTGGGGACCCCCCATAAGTCAGAAGCCTCAAGCGCATGCGCGGTAGAAGGAATTAATCAGAGTATTTTGAGCCTGTTGGTGAAGCTGATGTCAATTATGACCAGTGCTACGTCATCCCCTGGGAGGTTGGTAATTTGTGTAATCATGCTTTCGACTATTGATATGATTATGCTAATTCGTTCTTGACCTCTGAAAGCGATATTTCGATGGACTAAGGGGCTGTTCACACTTGATGCCCAAGCACTAGTGCCTGGTTACCGTCACAAAATGGTGTTTTACACCTTGATTACCCGTTATGTAAATATGTAGATATTTGCTCCATTTCGCTCTGTTAGACGCCATTTTGAAGCGTGTAGTGGATTCCCTCAGCAGTTGCTGTCATTTTATCGAATATCGCAGTCGTCTTCCAAATTTGGTCAACACTAGCTTGTTATGAAGAATTAGCCAGGGGATTTGAGCCGATCAAAAACAGAATGAATAGTGATATAATTTGCTCTGATGTGACCATGTGATCTTCGCACATGTTTTAACCGTTTCTTGTCACGCAACCGAACGTAAGTCACGTGAGGTTATCTAAGGGTGCGTTGCTTTAGGTGGGGTGTTCTGGAGTAGGATTTATGATCCAGGTTTGCTGGGGTTATGGAGCATCCAAGTTACCAATAGAACCTTGTCTAGATGGGATTTAACGGTTCCTATGATGTACCTTGATCTCGAGTGACTTTAGTTCACGAATCCTGATACCAACCACTCCAGAAGGACACACAGTAGTTTCATCAGCGACTTTTTATTCCTACAATACAAGACTTAGTGACAAAATACAGTCAGCTCTCTCTCAACGGAGAGCTCTATAAGACAAACACCTCGCCAAAATTGACACCTAGAGTTGGTCCCTGCCTTTCTTTACTCTTTCACTTGACTTTCTCCAAGACGGACACATGCATAGTGCTGGTCCCAAAGTTGACCGTGTTAAGGAAAGTTGACTGAATTAGAAATTTGACAGCAGACACAAGATAAGAACAGGGTTTTACCACTAAAGTTGCGACCCTTACCTTCAATCTTGGATAAAATAGATGGAAAATTTGTACCCCCCCCTCCCCCAAATCAAGGATGGGAAAATAGCGCGTTTTGACTTGTGCGCGGCTTCATCCTTGATTTGGAGGGGGGGTGGGGGGTTTGCTGTTCCATTTTATCATGTCCAAGATTGTTGATGGCCTATCTTTTCTTTGCAAAAAAGGAGCACAGCATACGGTAATGGAGTCCAGTACTTATCAGACCTGCTAGATATGATCCGTAACTCCAGCCTTGACAATGCTGCTGCACTGAACAAGCTCCAGTCAGGGCCTGGAAAGAGTAGTGCCAGTCCTTGTTCACCTGATGGGGATACAGAAGACGCTGAGGCCAGAGCACGAAGGTAAAGAATGTATTTAACTGCGCATATTTCGTTCCAGTGGGGTTTCATATGCGGGTTAAGTCCTTCTCTCGTGAGCTGCAAGGGTCAAGGTCATTGACAGCCTTAACACAGACTTAATCCGACGTGTATAATATTTTTCCTGAACTTAGTTGGCTACCTTGCCGGCCGTTGCAACGAACGTTATTGCTGGGTCTTAAAAGTCTGTAAGTCATTTTCATTTTAGCCTTCTAAATCTTAAATAGTGGTTTGCAGCCAAACAATATATTATGAGCAAAAACGAATCCGCTCCAGTGCCGTTTTGTCTTAAAATTCACTCGCTCATTAACTTCCAATCTTTGATTTATGTTGAGTAATTGCTTTCTCTTTTACAGGCGAAAACTTGCCAGAGAACGCCAACAAAAAGTTCTGGCTGAGTTTGCATCCAAACAGAAAGTTTTCATGGAGAAAACAATGAGCAACGATCCAGGTATTTTATGGTTAGCATTAGATAACATCGGGTGAAGCCAGATTGGACACCATACGAAGTTTACACAACGCATTATTCTTTTAACGTAACGATACTGGAGCAGAACCCCACTTAACCTTGCAGAATTGCTGAAAAAAACAAAAGTGCAGAGCGCCAGCTATGAAGAGAACCTATGAGAGAGTTAGTCTCTGATCTGCAGTAATTATAGTTAAACACTGAACTGAAAACGGTTATCTTTCAAATATTGTATTAGGATACGGCGTAAGTATATAAGTAATAACTGGATTTGGCAGCTACTACTCGATGGTGTAGTGGATATGGAAGTAGGTTATGAAACAAATACCTCAGGCTCAAAGCATCCCAGTTCTGTTTATCCACCTTATTTTATATAACAGAGTAAAGTGACTTAAGTTGTTCTTTATTTAATTTTACTAAAAGAAACTATTTTCATCTGTGTTCTTTTGTTTCAACTTCGAGAATTCTCGACCAGGGAAGAGGTGTCAGGTTTTAGGAACAATAATTTTAAATCAAACCTAGTCTAACCATATGAGTTGACAAAAAATACAATTCGCAGCTCGATCCATATGTTAGTTATTACTGACAGCCGTCATGAACCAATCATTACATTGATACATTGGCTTATATTCCAAAAGATCCCAGAACTCTTAGCGCAGAAAACTTGTAATCATTCTCCCTTTATTTTGTTATTACATTATTATTATTATTATTATTATTATTATTATTATTATTATTATTATTATTCATTTGCTATATTAAGAACTGTACACAGATGCGTCAGAGGTTCTAGATATCCATTCAAATCACGTGAGGTCTCAGAAGACTTCACTTTCGCTGTAGCTGGTCTACATCTGCACTCATAATTTTAGGCCTAGATTTTTGATAGTTTTTTTCTTAGTAATGATTAATTTTCCTTTTCCCACTTTTAAATTATTCATAATTGTAAATAGTTTTTCTATCGCTGACATATATTTAGTTTCTAATTTGTAAACAATACGATATAGTTTAAAATTGTAAATAATTACTTATTGTTCTGATACTTAAATAAAGATTGGTTTATTATTTTTATTATTATTATTATTATTATTATTATGGCAGTACAAACGTCTGGATGTCCAGAGTAAAAACTAAAAGCTTTGGCTGGGCGGCAAACCGTAACCAGCCGCAGCATCGACTAAAATTTGTGGTAACAATTACACAATAATTTGGCCAAAAAAAAGAACTGGGTAAAAATGATTTGATAAAAGTGTCATAAAATAAATAAATCCTACAAGCTTTATGGACGTCTTAATTACAAAATAAGGTTGTTCGTAAGTTAAAAACCATCGTTCATATATTATTATTGTTATTATTATTATTATTATTATTATTATCATTAATCTTTTGTTACAGTTAGGTTAAGGTGTTGTCCTCTACAACTTTGCAGCTTAATTTGCTTTTTTCAGACGTGCTTGACAAGTTAGACGGAGATGGGGAGACTGTCTGCAGCTCAAGCGGTGAATCAGGCCAAGAAATCTTTGATTGTGTTATTTGTGGCCAATCATCTACATCCACAGAGGGTAGCCCAGTAGGGTTAGTGGTTCTTCTACAGCCAAGCTCAGGTGAGGAAAATACCACTGGCGATTGTACAGTCATTTAAAATGATCAAGTTCTATACAGGGTTTGCAAGCGGTGTAGCACTTGTAATGGATATGTCCCTTATCCGTGATACCGCTATACGATTTTCGCTTCTACGATTTTTACACTGCTATGGGAATAGAAAGGAATGCCAACTGATTAATGACTTTTCACCCCTCTATTCCTATAGTCTTGTTTTCTTGCTTTTTAATGTACGATTTCTTAAAGATAATCAAACGTAAAACAACCTCGCTCCCAGGGTTCTCACGAGGTGGCGTGTGGGAATGCACACCTGAAGTTGCCCAAAGTACCTTTTGGCAACAACGACAGCATTTCCTTTTCATATCGGGCGACTTCGGAGCGAGCCGAAGATCGTCTACGTCGAGTGAGTGACTCATTTGCATATCTCAACCCTACAGCGATAACTCGTGAAATAGACCTCTTTCATAATGGCGGCCTATCAACATATTCTTTTATAGCATGATAATTAGCCTTTCTGACCTCGTTAACATGTGCAAAATACAAAAGAATTCTTACTTTCAAACGAGGTCAGAAAGGCTAATTATCATATATATAAACGATGATTGCTCCTGAAGCCTGAACTCCTGTGAAGGTATAGTCAGTGCTCTTCAAGCAAATGAATTGAGCGCTCTACGAAATACATCCTACCCAGAATACAAGTATTTAAAAGAATATATCAATAGGCCGCCTTTATCAAACAGGTCTATGCCCTTCGGGCATTTACGAATTAAGAAGGGAAGATAAGGAGTGTGCGAAACCCAATCATTTCTCTGCAAAGCTGGCGGGATAAGCGGGGAAGTGCTATTGTTTTTCAGTGGCAGAGCCACGAGAAGTTTGGGAGTCCCTTGCGTCGGACAAGAAAGTACCCCGCACATATCAATCGCGCCAGCAGCTACGCAGGTTATATGCAGTCTTAAAAAGGGTACTGAGCAATAACTTATTTAACAATTGCGTGCCTGTTTTTTCTCATGTAACAGTGTTGAAACACAGAGCATTTCACGTGAGGCATACCCAGCTGCCACTTAGCCGCGAAGAAGAAGAGGCTCGAGTCATAAACTGCGGGACAACGTTCAGAAAAAGATTTGAAGCACTGAGGAGACACTTTGACCTGGTATGGATCCAGAATTGGTATTTTGCATCATAATTCATCATAATCGATTATAATGAGTCACAATGACTTATATGATTCATAATGATTATGATAATTCACGATGATGCAAAGTAAACCCCCGCAACTAAGAACCTGGATTTTAAGAACCTGTTAGGCTAAAATTTGCCTGTTAAGCCCTTGTTTACCCTAAAATTTGAAACAGGTTCTGAACACTTGGGCAAATAAGATGTCCACAGTCAGAATCCTCTTTGGAGACATAGATACCTTGCCATTCCAACTGCAATATATATGTCAATGAGGTCAATGCTTTAGTTCTTTTTTTTTAATGGTAATTATACATAACATCCAGTTTGGTATGCAGATTTTATATTAGGAATATGCTGAACCACTAAATGCTCTTATTGTTTTTCTTTCTTCAGAAAATAAGAACCTTCGTAAGAAGCTGAATAGCCTAAGCTTGTGCTAACTACCATTTATATGAGACCTCTTTAAGCTAACTTGGAATACTCCAGGTTCTTAGTCACGGGGTATTACTGTATATGATTTGAAAGGATTATCATAGTTCACGATTATATATTTGATTTACAACGATTTGATAATTCACGATTATTAATGTGATTTATTTATGAACAAGTTATGTAATTTAACAGCTTCCCAGCCTAGATGCGTCTGCGTTTGGCACAGAAGGAGGGATACATATGCAGTCATGCGGTCATCTGCTTCATGTAGACTGCCATCAATCGTACTTGAAATCTCTCCAGGTATTTAGTAGTCTTTTTTCATTCCTTTTTGCAAACTGGAAAAGTAGTGGAAGAGTTATTAAAGTTCAAATATAAATACTAACATTGGAATAAAACTAACAAATTTATCAACTCTAAGGTGTCCTGATCTATGAACTGTTGTTTTCCTATCTGTCATGCAGTAGGAAAGGAATGCCTCTGTTATATTGTTAAAACAGTGCTACTTTATTAGCACTAGGATTTAATAAAACGAAAAACTTTAATTAAAAATTGCAAAGGTAGCACTATAATGTTATTCAATGAAAAAGAAAGATGCCAGTGGTAGCACACCTGGCATCATAATTTATCAGAATGCAAAACCCAACTGTTGAAATTTTAATAGCAACAAAAATTTAATATTATCGTGATCGTAATCGCCATCATCATCATCATCATCATCACTTTGCTGATCAACATCATCGTCGCCATCATTGGTATCACCGTACTCACCGCCATCGCGGCCGTGATTACCACTGTTATCATCGTCATCAATATCACTATTATCACCATTATTATCATTACCACCACCACCTCCAAAATTATTGTCATCATAATCATCACCATGGTCTTCAACATCATCGTCGCCATCATTGGTATCACCGTAATCACCGCCATCGCGGCCTTGATTACCATTGTTATCATCGTCATCAATATCACTATTATCACCATTATTATCATTACCACCACCACCTCCAAAATTATTGTCATCATAATCATCACCATGGTCTTCAACATCCTCGTCGCCATCATTGGTATCACCGTACTCACCGCCATCGCGGCCGTGATTACCATTGTTATCATCGTCATCAATATCACTATTATCACCATTATCATCATTACCACCACCACCTCCAAAATTATTGTCATCATAATCATCACCATGGTCTTCAACATCCTCGTCGCCATCATTGGTATCACCGTAATCACCGCCATCGCGGCCGTGATTACCATTGTTATCATCGTCATCATCATCACTATTATCATTATTGTCATCATTTTCACCACCACCTCCAAAATTATTGTCATCATAATCATCACCATGGTCTTCAACATCCTCGTCGCCATCATTGGTATCACCGTACTCACCGCCATCGCGGCCGTGATTACCATTGTTATCATCGTCATCAATATCACTATTATCACCATTATTATCATTACCACCACCACCTCCAAAATTATTGTCATCATAATCATCACCATGGTCTTCAACATCCTCGTCGCCATCATTGGTATCACCGTAATCACCGCCATCGCGGCCTTGATTACCATTGTTATCGTCGTGATCAATATCACTATTATCATTATTGTCATCATTTTCACCACTACCTCCAAAATTATTGTCATCATAATCATCACCATGGTCTTCAACATCATCGTCGCCATCATTGGTATCACCGTAATCACCGCCATCGCGGCCTTGATTACCATTGTTATCATCGTCATCAATATCACTATTATCACCATTATTATCATTACCACCACCACCTCCAAAATTATTGTCATCATAATCATCACCATGGTCTTCAACATCATCGTCACCATCATTGGTATCACCGTAATCACCGCCATCGCGGCCGTGATTACCATTGTTATCATCGTCATCAACATCGCTATTATCATTATTGTCATCATTACCACCACCACCTCAATATGCAACACAATATGTTCATGTTTTAGTAACAACTTTTTTGTGATGTTATCCAGGATGAAGATGCCAATCAACTTCATCACCTACATCAAATGCAGCCTTTCAACCCAAGGAATGGAGAGTTCACATGTCCTTTGTGTCGGCAACTCGGAAACTGCGTTCTGCCTATTGTACCTACAAATATTATTCCTACGAAAACGCCACTAAAGGTAACCTGGGATTGATTTAATAGAATTTTACAAATGTAGCCATTGTTTCAGAGTATGACAACAATAGCTACACTTGTTTATTAAACTGAGCCCCGAATGGAATAATTATTACAAGGAAATATTATTCAATCATACGAAACTGAAGGGTTAGGTAACATACTAGTAATAACCAATGGTTACCGAGTGCGGGCGACAACGATCGAAGCAAATCGTTCTTGCTCCTTCGCTGTGCTTTGCGTAAGTTTCACGTGACAGATTGTCAAAACGCGCGTGATCAGATTACCAGTGATAGAAGGTCCAAACGCGCGTGATCAAATTGTGTTCTGTGCATTCCATTCATTTTAGTGGAAGTTCAAACGAATGCTGGCTACATACATGCGACGCATGCGTAATAACAACCTCGAGATTAGGATTGCGGGCTCCTCTTGTCGCCCGCAATAAGAGAACTTTTTTATGACCTTAAAAACATGTTTTCCTCCGACATTTTACAGTATTTGTATTTGTCCCCTATTATTTATTAGGCTCAAACTAGCCTTGCGCGTTTCCCTACTAAAACTTCCCCAAACGTAATAATTATCTTCTTTGTGTCATCCTAGTGTACTCTCGGCTCAACTGAAGTCTTAGTTGTTAAATTTCAAACATTTCCAAGAGATCCTACAATGTTCAAGGGTATCACTACTCTCACCCTTAAGCTCTCTTTGCTTTTAGAATAAAGAACAAAGCCACAAGGAACAGACAAACGACCTTCATGCAGTCTTGAGAAAATTCAAGCTCCGTGTATGTATTCACAGTAGTTAAAAGTGATTTGGCGATTGCTTTCATTTCTTTTAACTGCAACTTGTGCGAGGTTAAGTATATTGCGCCTCTTAGTTAAACGGCCAGGAATAAATCAACTGGTAAGACCTATTGCTTGCATAACAGGTGCCATTCAGCCGCGCGCGAAGGACAAGAGACAAGCGCGGATCGAGAGACGTAGAAAGTATTCACTCGTTCGGCACGGGCTTCTCTCTGAGTTTTAAATAGCACCACAGGAAAGTATTGCTCCGCAGCTTTCATTTGAATGGTCAGTTCGTATGATCGTGTGCACAGCCTTGTTAGAACGACATTTGTATTATTGACTGAGTGTTAACCCTTTAAGCCATAAGAGTGGTCAGCACCAAATTTCTCCTTGTAATATCAGTGCTTTGTAAAACAGAGTGGTCATAAGAATTACGGACATGTTCACACAAGATGAATTTGCTTGATATTTTATCAACTTCTCCGCACTACTTCTTTAGGAAATGAATAGGGGTGACAAATGAGAATTCAAATTTTGATCTTAGGGTTTAAAGGGTTAATACAACAGACAAAAGTACTATCTGCTATGTTATCTTTGTAGAACGTCACTAAACTAACAGCAAGTGCCCTTAACTTCACTGTGCTTGGTGCAGCAATTAAAGCTGTTGTAGAAACAGTGTCTGCTTTGGACGGGGAAAGTCACAGGAGTTCCACTGAAAAGAAATTTAGCCTGCTTTGTAAGATGGCAAGGTATGTTATATTTTTATATTTATGGCCCGGGTACACTCGGAATGCGGAAAATGTGTGATTAACTGGCTAAAGCATTAATGGCAAGCGTCGGTTAGTTTTCTGCGCGCGCGTCGTCGAGTATTTCTCCTTTCGCCTTAAGAAACCGGTGCCTGCTACTCAGGCTTCTAATGTCTTTACCCTTTTTCCACAATTCACAAATACAGTGCTTGTTTTTGTGTGTAGGACAAATTTAGAATTGGAACAAGTAGATAAAGCCGCCAGGAAGCTCTCAACTCCAAGAAAGTCTTGTTTTGGTGAGTGCCTTCGCTAACCATTAATTATTATGTGGGTAAACCTCAAGAAAAGCTATGAGATTGCTTAAACGTGATTTTTTATTTTTTATGAAGTTGAATTTTAGCAATTATTATTATTAGAAACACCAGACCGTGGACACCCTTCTTCTTCTTCTTCTTTTGTGATGTTTCCTTGTCATGCCTTGTGTTCTGTTGTTAGCCGTCGACATCAAAAGTACACTAAGCTCCTAAAAACTACTAAAACATGCAGTCATAATAAATGTAAGGTGAAAATTGATGTCTAGGTAATTATACTGTAATTTCAAGGAATCGTTCACAATCAAAGGCAATATGAAGCAAAGAGAAAAGGGTTAGGGGTTAGGGTTAGGGTTAGGACCTTGCGAATCTATGACACCAAGGAAACATCAACGAAGACGTCAGTATGAAATGTAAAAACACATTTCTCAAACTACAGCAAAAATAACTCGCTCCGGAAAAGCTCTACATATTTCGCATTAATCTTCCCTGCATTGCCCTCGTCACCCCAAGATACTTATCCCCAGTTTCCACGGTCTACGCTAGGAACGCCGGGGACCATGTTTGGGGCCCACCGACGAAAAAAAAGAAACGCTTGCATTTTCTGAGTCTCGTCGCCAAAGCAAGCGAGACTAATAAAACAACCCTTCTTTGTTAACAGCTTGTATGTCGCTAAAAAGCAACGCTTACACGATGGTTATGTGTACTAATGTTTCAGGTCCATTGGTTCGTGCGTTCCAGTTTCACTCCCAGACACTGGTGGGTCCTTTACTATCCGTGTGGTCCGACCTGACTGGGACTGATGACTTCCGGGAATCCTCGACCAGGTATGCTACCTTCTCAGATGGGTCGTCTATCTCTCTTGGACAAAACGAAAAGGCAAACGAAAATACTAGCCATATCTTTATGTCGCCCCATGTAAGGTAATCTGGATTCCGCAATCCGGGAGATCTTTGCTTGTGGAATCCAAAATCACAGGAAGTATTTGCTTGTGGAATCCGCAATCCGGAATCCTCGGCTTTAAAATCCGTAATCCAGCTCAAGAAATCCAAAATCCCGCTAACGACTGGAATCCAGAATACAATTTCTGCTGACAAGGAATCTGGAATTCAGTACTCGGAATCCGGAATCGACAGTGTGGAATCCAGAATTCAAGACTGTATTGGATTACCTGACATGGTGCAAGTTATGACATAGCCCACGGTTTAAAGCATATCATTAGTAACTTTAATCAGTTCCTGTTTTGTTTTTAGTTCGTCTCGTAAAACTGGAGACTGTCCGATTTTGCTACGAGACGCTACGTCGCTGTTAATTCAGATGATGTTGTCGTGGCCTACAGCGCTTTCAGCGCGTAAGTAAATCATTATCGTTTTTATTAACGCGTATTTTCTTCGTAGAATAACTCGTTGCGAACAAGAGTAGTGCTGTACGATACGAAACACGGCTTAGTGAACAGAGATCCAAACCGTGGCCGTGAAGAACAGGATATATTATTGTTAATTCTTGGACAAATCGTCTCTTTAAGATTAAGGACACTTCGCAATACAAATTTGTTAGCGTCAAGGCATATTAAAAGAGAAAAAACGCTCACTTCCGGTTGACGTACGTCGCCCAAGAACGTCGCTACTTAAGCTCCCTATTGTATTTTATGACAAGAAATCTGCTTCATGGCTTATTTTGTTTTTGTTTTTGTTTGTTTTTTTTAATGAAACTACCTATATTGCTCTAAGGCTTCCTCACATAGGCTTCCTGACAATGTAACCGAAATAGCTGTAAAAGCTGCCCAGACGTCACTCTCTTGATGTAAATTTGCGCGCAACGGAAGACGGGAAAGATTAAACAGGCGAGACGCTTCGCCTTCCCGTGGTCCCTTGCGCTTCATTACCAGTCACTCGCGTTTCGCGCTCGCCTTTGTCCTCGACCAACGTGCGAAAAACGAAGCGTCTGAGGAGAAGGCAGGCTTTAAAGGATTGTTTGCTGGTAGTGTTGTTCACATTTGGTACGCTGGTATAGATACCGAACATCCTACGTTCTATTGCTTTGCGGTCGTGTTGTTTACTTGGCCTCTCTTAACAACAACTTACCAACTTTATTTGTTGTTGAACTGTAGGTGACTTCAAATGCCTTGTGCAGCTTGTTTTCAACTTAATGTTCACCCAGGTAAGAACTCATTTCACTTTCAACACGCCTCGTTTGATTATACATACATGTTCTGAAGATTGCTCGAGATTTACCAAGTATTTTCTTGTCCTCAGTTGAAAAATTTTTCATTTTTTTGGCGGAGTTAGAAATCCGCGGCCTATCAGCAGGGAAAGGCCCTATAAACAGGGAGAGAAATTTAGGCTGTGATCACACCAGACCAGATAGCTTTTTGTGCCGACACGAAAAGTTCTCCTGTATCGTATGAACACCTATCTGATATGTGACTCTTCACTTTAAGAGATCCGCGCGGTGCAGCTTCGCTCGTTACAGAAATCGCGCTGAAATCAGCGTTCTTATTTGTGAACAGAAGCCTTATCCGCTATGGTTTTTATGCCGGCGCAAAAGCAATCCGGTTTTGTGTAAACATAGCCTCAGACTGTCAGACGGAAGACAGAATACCCCCCAACATTTGGAAAATAGACCAGTTATACCAGATGGTTGGCGTCACCAAGCATGCCACGCGTATCGTATCGTATTTTTTTAACAAATCCATTGTGTGCCTTTATTTAGACTCTTGTTGACACCTGTTGCAAGTTTGTTGGCGACGAAAAGCTTTCCTGGCAAGATTTGGGAAAGAAGGCAGCCTCGCAGGCAAGTGTATTTGTCGGTCGTAACGTACATAACATGGTTTTCATTAATGCAATTTGGTGATGTAATTTCCTCTTTTACATTCACACATATGTAACAATGCAGTACATAGGTAAGCATTTGCCTATTCCCTAGGCCTCATTATTCCGCGCGGCCGATGCGTTTCGGGTCACGTGGTCCGAGCGAGTTTTTGACATCTCGGATACGTCACCGATATGCATTGACCGAGAAAGCCTGGGAGGACGCCGTACAGGTACTAGGTAAGGTAATCTTTAGGTTCTACCCACCAGCCTAAATCCCCTGAGAGACCTCGTGAGCTTTTGTTTTTGTGACAAACGCAGATTTTGCCGTATCTTCTTTTCATCTCGCTGAGGTTGCCCTATAATGAAATGCACTATTCCTGGTTGCTTTTTTAATGACGTACGAACATGAGTGGGTGTTTAAATGAATCATGAGCCGAGTTCAAGGCTCACTGTTTACCTTGAGTTTTTTCCTTCTTTTCTTGTTTCTTTAAGGTGAAAATAAGTCTTACTTAACTTTCAGTTTAAAGTGGTGTTCTTAGTATCCTGGCCTTGAGTGGAAGCGGAGATGGAGGTGAAGTTGTTTTTAGAAACCTCGCTGCTTTTCAAATGTATATCATGCTCTTATGGATTGAAAAACAAGTTAGGTTTCTATCAAAACAAAGCCACCACCAGCCTTGCTAACACTCAAAAGGCTGGGTCGCTCAGTATGCAACCGTAGTCGGTGGCAGAAGAAGGGTTGTCTCATCACTCAACGCGTCTAGGAAATGTTTATTTGATTACCGTTGTTTTGATGTTTTTCCTGTTCATTGTGGTAGGACAAGTCTCAGAGTTCGTTACCCGCTGAGTTGTTGCTTGGTTACGTTTGCCGCATGCTCAGTAACAGCAGCCTGTTTAAGGAAGATCATCACACTGCAGGGGTGAGTAAATCCAATCAGTGCACTTAGCGTTAATATTGACACCTGTATTCTCCACACTACTCTCGATGCGACTTATATAGAGGTAATAATGAAAATTTATCTTAATAATCGAGAGTTTGTCCTGGCACCGTTTGACTCCTCCATTCTGTTGTTGATCTCTGTTCCGCAGATTTCTCAAACAGTATGGTCTCCACATACAGTAGAGCGAACCTTGCAGGATTCTTGCCTGCCATTCCTGCGCTCCGCTTGTACTATGGCGCGTCTTGTCTACAATATTAATCTACCAGAAGTAGAGGTAAGACCAAGTCCGATCGTGGGAGTTAAAACTAATGCAGGGAGAGAGAGCTTTATGACATCAGTGAGTTCGCCACTTGAGAAACGAAAAGGGAACTAGAGCCGAAATGCGTCCTGCAGTTATTTCCGGGGTCGTTACTGGGCATGCGCCGGTCAGCTATTGGCCAACTCTTTTTCTTGTCCCTACTAACAATCCCAGAAGTCTTTGCAAAAGTTAACTCGGCCCAGTTTCCTTGTCTATTCTAAAGTTGAGAATAGGCTGGAGCGGGTGCAGCGAGGAGAATGGGGCGCAGCTTTTTTTCTCCTCTTACCAAACAAACCGTAAGCTACGCAGGCTACACGAGAATCTTTGGGTAAATTTGCGTCCCAACCGATCCGCTTAGGACTAACTTCACTTAAGGTACGGGAAAACGTGCAACAGAAAACGTGCAACTGGTCTTGCAATATTGCTGTAAAACGAGTTGAATAGCGATGTTGCGCGTTTTACCACCCACATCAAACCTGTCTTGCAACAAATCAGGTTGTTAACAGGTTTGAACGTGGGTAGTAAAACGCGGAACATCACTATTCAACTCGTTTTGCTGCAATGTTGCAAGACAAGTTGCCCGTTTATTTTTGTTTCCGTTTTTCCGTACCTTAAGCGAGTTCGAGTTGATGCTTCGGGGAATTTTATTTAAATAAAAATAGGTTCTTAATCGTAGTTCCAAGTTACTTTTACCCCCAAAACACCAATCCGTTATGTCCTTACTGTTTTGTTCCGTTTGATTCAATGTGGCGCACGCACACCAGAGCATGTTTTGTTACCGGGTGGCTTTTCTTTTTAAGGGGACTGATGCCGAGTTTCGAGTTCTGGCCTCTACTCTTGGTTTGTGCGCACTGCAAGATTCATCTAGTAATAGTGCCGAGTCCTTTTCATGCGTCAACTGTCTGCAGTGGCCTCGGTCCAAGCCGCTGGTAATTCTTCGACAATGGTGTGAAGGTCTGCTGCTGTCGGTGATGGAACGCAAGATGACTTTAACCAGGGTGAATAACATGATCGTAATGTAATAGCCTGAGAAAACAGCCCACGTTTCCATACTGATAACGCGTTACTACCCAGATCTGGGTAGTGCTCCTGATTGGTTGAAACAAATTTCCCTCGCGGTACGACAAATCAGAAGCACCACCCAGATTTGGGTAGTGAAACGTCATCAGTATGGAATTTCTGCTCTCGTTCTTCAGACGTCATTTCGCGGGAAAAACAGTAGAGGCGTCGCGAAATGTCTGGTGTTTTCTCAGGCTATAGTGGTAACTTAACTTATTGTGTTTGCGGCAAGAAGGAAAGGTCAAGATCAACTCTAACGTTAACCGAGTTCTGGAATTCCCTATCTCTGATATTGCCACTTGCAAATCATCTCTCAAAAAAATACCTCATCGCTCAGTGAGCTGAATATTTAAAAATGTCACACTTCTTATCCATGCCTGAACTTAAAACGTGTGATTGATGAGGAGTTCTAAATTCATCAGCGTCAGCAGTTTTTTTAGGCCTTGTCGCCGATTTATCTTAACAAGATATGCCCAGGTTTGCACTCAGCTGCGAAAATTGTAAACTTCTTTCGTAATATACCTCACTGTAACTTGTCCTCCGTGATAAATCAGCAAATAAACAAACAAATAGGATGAAGTGCAGTTACTAAATTTACTCCAAACAGTCAGAACCAGCGTTGTCTAAATATTTGGTTTAGTCCTTGTAATAAGGTGACTTTACTCGGGACGACTCGCGCCGACGATTTTTAGCGTAACGCAGTGTTGCAACATTGTTTGCGCATTGCTGCGAATGGTTACGACATTGTTCCAACATTGCAATGCTCGCTGTTTTGCGCCAAAAAACAATCGTTGCGAATCGTCCCGTATAGCATCAGCTTAATCTGATTCTTGGAATTTGCAGGAGCTTCTTCCAAACTTACGCCAGTGGCCGTTACCAAGACTTCTCCAGCTGCCTCAACGATATGACAGGTGGGTGAAACTTGGAATATTTAGGAAAAGGTTAAGCATTCGAAGTAAATAGTTGATTACCATTTACAAAAAGTTTCCGGAACATGAGCTTGGAATGTAAATGGAACACAGCTTTTTTTCCGGCGGAAAATTTACGGGAGCAACGGAACATCTGAAACGGTAGTCCTATTTTTTCCGAAAGCCGTCTTTGAAACCAGTCTCAGGCTTTCGCGGCCGTTTTTAGTTAATAGAACTGATTTGTACCAATGGTAAACGCGATGCCTGGACGAAATTTACCAGTCCTGAATTTTGTTTACCATTTAAATATCTTTACCTATGTAGAGTACCCACACTACCTGCCTCGAATAGCTTTAGCTAAATACAGGCAGTGTGTATGTTTAATGTATTTCTTTGCTTTTTAATAAAATTGTTGTTGTTATTGTTGTTGTTGTATTTGCCTAAACCGTGTACCGTCCGATTTGCCTATGTTAATGGTACACAACCAATGTTTTCACTTTATGGGGGTTCATTTGCAAGACACGGCTTGCTGGCTGCGTTTTGACGAGGGTATTTCTGCTGAGGGAAGAGCACTTCAGTAAAAATGGAGAGGGCGTTTACTTGTCAAAATTGCGGTTTCTCAAGCCAATTTCTCCACCTTTTATTACAATAGTTTAATTCAGCACTACCGGAAACGGAAGTGCATCAAGTGTGGCTCCACTCCGGACGACCCTGCGGTATGTTTGGTCTGCGGTAAATTCACATGTCTCCAAGGAAATTGCTGTGTGGACGAAACAGGTGAAAGTAGACACTACGAGTGTATACAGGTATGTCACGTGACCTCAAATCTCGTAAGTGCGACAACGTGGATATATTGATTTCAACTACAAAATTAATAGCTTGCATCATCCTTTACTCAAATGCGTTCTTTGTTACCATAGACGTAAACGTAAGCGTGAGTACAATGGTGTTTACACGTTTAAATGGACAGATGCCTGCCCTACCCCTCCCCTAAGTCAACATTACCACTTAGGTACTTCTCGCTTAGGGCAGAATTTTTACTTAATGGGGGGTAGGTAAATCTCAATAGACCTTTTTAACTTGAAGGTTTTGTTTTCCCAATAGAGGTGAGTTTTATCACATGACCTATATTGGGAAAACAAAACATACAAGCTAAAGAGGTCTATTGATCCCCTGATTGAATCAACAAGGTTACTTTGGGTATTGGGTGTTGGGTAATTGTGCAGTGATTTCTGGTTGCCCTAATGCCCAATTGCCAATGATCAATCACCAAAGCAACCTTCTATTTAATTAGGTACACACAGAAACATATGAACAATAGTTTGGTGCTGCAGTTATGGTGCCAAATAAGATTTCCAATCTCATATATTTTAGCGCTAAATATGACTCAAGTTCGTTGGTTGACGAAATATCACGAGCATGTAATTTCCAATACACTCGAAAGTGAAATCCAGGTGAATTTCGTCAAGATATCACCGTAGAATTCGATGATCTTTTTTCTTTAGGGTAGCCCTGACCACTAATATTCTTCATCTCCCCCCCTCCCCTTTTCCTACTTTTCTCCTCTCTGTCTCTTTCTCACCCTCTCTTCGCATAGTCCGCATAAGTGGGCCTTTTTCCTAGACGTTCGTGGGGAAGGAACGCCTTACGTCTGCGTGGGAGGCTGTCTTTTTCCATTCTTTTCAGACCCTGATTGTTGTCATTCTGTGTACTTTTGTTTATCAGCATGCACTGGACTGTGGGAGGGGAACTGGGATATTCTTAATCGTACTCTCCTCAGTCATTATCATTATCAGAGGCGACCGCGTTTGTATCTGGGGCTCAGTCTACCTTGACAGTTTTGGCGAGGAGGACCGGGATCTAAGGTGAGTGAATGTAGCAGTATTGAATTTATTTGTTTCCGTTTTGTTGTTGTCAACGAGCCAAAGTGACATTTGTCGAAACTGTCTTTGTTTTTTTTTTGTTTGTTTTCACAGACGCGGAAAGCCTCTTTTTCTGAGCCAAGAACGTTTCAATAGACTTGAAGAACAATGGTTGACTCATAGCTTTGACCACATGTGCAAGAGGTGGAAGCGCCACTTGAACACTCTGTAAACCAGTGAAGCTTCCTCGCAGGTCTTGAATCGCCAGGCATTCATCTATGCAGTGAATCCTGAATTGAATGATATAGGAAGATTTCGCCCCGAGGTCGGAGGATGACATTGAATCTTTATCATTGTGGAACTTTGCGATACCTTTTTTCTGCAGGCAGGGACGCTTAAGCAAAATTCAATGACATCGATTGTGGTCAAGGAAGTTTTGAAAATCTTGTGTATCAATTAGAGCATTCTCTCTATGACGTTTGGATCTGGCGGAGCTGGTTTCACGACCCTATTCTAAGCATTGACTCTAAAGAAACAATTCTAAGGAGATGTCTTGAGTTGGGAAGGCCTGCCCCAGGTTTGAAACAATTCTTTCCAGTATTGCATGAGGTGGGACTGTGCGGCAAGTGATTAACCCAGCCCTTTTTCTCTTTTAAAATGGGACATCTGCGAAACCTTAACAAGCTTACCAAATGACGTCACTTAACGCTTGCTTCTTGGTCAGTAATGTTCATTTTGGAAGCCTGATGGCGGATTTTAGTTCGTGACCAGAACTGTCTGTTTTGGGACTATTTTGGCAGCCTTATTCTTCGACGGCCGTTTTAAACGCAGAGAGGGTTTGAAAAGAGCTTGCTATGGTGGTGGTGTTTGTTAAATACTTTCAACTGTGTAAAAAGTTAATCTTGAACTTGGGGAAGATATATATTTTTGTTTATTATAGTTTATTTATGGTGATGTACTGTGTCTATATAGGTAGAACTTGAAGGTGACAAAAGAGGAAGTCGGCAATATTGCACTTTCAAGTTTACCTCCTCGTCCAAAACACATTCTATGGGTTTAGTCTCGATCTGAGGTAAAAATTTACAAATACTAGCGAGAGATCGCCTTGTACAACTCTGTGCGTTTTGTGACTTTTTCAAGTAGCTACACGCCCAGGCTGTAAAAATGCGTTGTTAGTGTTATCTTAAGCAACAACCATTAACTCGAAAGGAAATATTGCTAAGAAAATAACATCAACTTTACATTAGACGAAGTTATCTGGCCAATCATTCTCTCGTCACGCAATGTTCCTTCCCGAACGTTGCGTGACGATTGAATAAACGGCCGCATAGGAGGTTGCCTTTTCCCTGGGAAGTCATACAGACACGTCTGGTAACATTCGGTAACGGCTTGAAAAAGAGCATGCGTGTTTAAATTATTAAAAGAAGTCAGTCAAAACGAAGTTGCTCCCACAATATAAGTTGTGCGGAATTGTTATTTTAAAAGAATGAGCACTGGCGCGCTAAGTGAATAATGAACCCTGGATATAATATTCCAGGAGACTTTTAAGGTAAAGAAATACCTGCATTGCTATGTTCAGGTCGTTGGGTGGTATTAAAGTATTGAATTATGTTTTGTTAGGTGTATGTATTGTATTTATTGTATTGTACACCATGGCCATCTTTTCGAGTGGTTTCAGTCAAAGAATTTTCATTCCCCAAGGTGGGTCACTAAAGAAAAGGCTTGACTGTAGTAACATTAGCCATGCCTGAAAGCGGAGCTCCAATTAAATCTTAAAATTTAACTGAAAGAAGATAACTTTTAGACCAGTTCCAACAAAAAAATTAAAAATATACTGTAAATCTCTCTTGGTTATCTCGTTCACAAAAAAAGAAGCTTTCTTAGATCATAAAAATATCAGTTTCCATAGTCGCCCTATCAGATTAATTCCAAGGGGTAACCTACGCTTTTCGTCAAAACTTAAAACTTTCCTCCTTTTCTCTTGTTGGAAAAAAATAGGTCACGAAATAATGTTCGGATATATCCTGGATAGAAAACAATCCTTTCTAGACTACATAAAAATTTCCATTTTACATGGTCGCCATAATAGATTCTTTCTCGAGGATTTCGGGCACTTTTCCAAAAAGGTTACTCCATAGTTTTGGCCAAAATTTTGAACTTTCTTTATCCCTTCTTTTTAGCTACGTTAGGCCAAGTAAAAGTGTTTGGTAACGTTCTAGATAGAAAACCAGTATTTCTAGACTTTAAATACATCGATTAAAAAAAGGCGCAACATTGGCAATTTTCCAAAGGGGTTAGTCCATGGTTTTGTCCAAAATTTTACAACTTTATTTATCGCTTTTTTTATGTAGGATAAAGTGTTTGGTAACTTTCCAAATAGAAAACTAGAATTTCAAGACTATAAAACCATCCATTTAAAATAGTCGAAAAATTGATATTTTTCAAAACGGGTTACTCCATGGTTTTGGCCAAACTTGTCAAATTCCTTTATCACTTTTTTTAGGTAAGATAGGTCAAGAGAAAGTGTTTGGTAAGTCCCTACATAGAAAAATAGCATTTCTAGACTATAAAACATCGATTTTAAAAAGCCGCAAAATTGGCATTTTTCCAAAGGCGTTAGTCCATGGTTTCGGCCAAAATTATGAATTTTTTTTATCTCCTCTTTTTAGGTAAGATAAACAATAAAAAAGTCTTTGGTAACGTTCTAGATAGAAAACTAGCATTTCTAGACTATAAAAACATGCATTAAAAAAAAGTCGCAAAATTGGCAATTTTCCAAATGGGTCAGTCCATGGTTTTAGACAAAATTATAAAATTTGTCTATTTCATCTTTTTAGGTAAAATACGCGAAAAAACGTGTTTCGTAACGTTCTAGATAGAAAACTACCATTTCTAGACTATAAAAACCTGGATTAAAACAAACTTGAAAAATTCTCAATTTTCCAAAAGGGGTTAGTCCATGGTTTTGGCCAAAATTATGAAATCTCTTTATTTCTTCTTATTAGGTAAGATACGCCAAAAAAAGTGTTTGGCAACGTTCTATATAGAAAACTAGCATTTCTAGACTATAAAAACAATAATTTAAAAAAGTCGAAAAATTTGCATTTCTCCAGAGGGGTTAGTCCATGGTTTTGGCCAAAATTAATAAGTTTCTTTATCTGTTCATGTTAGGTAAGACAGGCCAAGAAAAAGAGTTTTGTACCTTTCTAGGTAGAAAACTAGCATTTCTAGACTATAAAAACAATGATTTAAAAAAACTCGAAAAATTTGCATTTCTCCAAAGGGGTTAGTCCATGGTTTTGGCCAAAATTATGAAATCTCTTTATTTCTTCTTTTTAGGTAAGATACGCCAAAAAAAGTGTTTGGTAACGTTCTAGATAGAAAACTAGCATTTTTAGAGCATGAAAACATGGATTAAAAAAAAGTCGAAAAATTTGCATTTCTCCAGAGGTCCATGGTTTTGGCCAAAATTAATAAGTTTCTATATCTGTTAATTTTAGGTAAGACAGGCCAAGAAAAAGACTTTTGTAACTTTCTAGATAGAAAACTAGCATTTCTAGAGTATAGAAACAATGATTTAAAAAAGTCGAAAAATTTGCGTTTCTCCAAAGGGGTTAGTCCATGGTTTTGGCCAAAATTATGAAATTTCTTTATTTCTTCTTTTTAGGTAAAATACGCCAAAAAACGTGTTTGGTAACGTTCTAGATAGAAAACTAGCATTTCTAGACTATAAAAACATGGATTAAAAAAAAGTCGCAAAATTGGCAATTTTCCAAACGGGTTAGTCCATGGTTTTAGCCAAAATTAATAAGTTTCTTTATCTGTTCATGTTAGGTAAGAAAGGCCAAGAAAAAGAGTTTTGTAACTTTCTAGATAGAAAACTAGCATTTCTAGACTATAAAAACAATGATTTAAAAAAGTCGAAAAATTTGCATTTCTCCAAAGGGGTTAGTCCATGGTTTTGGTCAAAATTATGAAATCTCTTTATTTCTTCTTTTTAGGTAAGATACGCCAAAAAAAAGTGATTGGTAACGTTCTATATAGAAAACTAGCATTTCTAGACTATAAAAACAATGATTTAAAAAAGTCGAAAAATTTGCATTTCTCCAGAGGTCCATGGTTTTGGCCAAAATTAATAAGTTTCTATATCTGTTAATTTTAGGTAAGACAGGCCAAGAAAAAGACTTTTGTAACTTTCTAGATAGAAAACTAGCATTTCTAGAGTATAGAAACAATGATTTAAAAAAGTCGAAAAATTTGCGTTTCTCCAAAGGGGTTAGTCCAAGGTTTTGGCCAAAATTATGAAATCTCTTTATTTCTTCTTTTTAGGTAAGATACGCCAAAAAAAAAAGCGATTGGTAACGTTCTATATATAAAACTAGCATTTCTAGACTATAAAAACAATGATTTGAAAAAGCCCACAAATTTGCATTTCTCCAGCCGGGTTAGTCCATGGTTTTGGCCAAAATTATGAACTCTCTTTTTTTCTTCTTTTTAGGTAAGATACGCCAAAAAAAGTGTTTGGTAACGTTCTAGATAGAAAACTAGCATTTTTAGACCATGAAAACATGGATTAAAAAAAAATCGCAAAATTGGCAACTTTCCAAAGAGGTTAGTCCATGCTTTTAGCCAAAATTAATAAGTTTCTTTATCTGTTCATGTTAGGTAAGACAGGCCAAGAAAAATAGTTTTGTAACTTTCTAGATAGAAAACTAGCATTTCTAGACTATAAAAGCAATGATTTAAAAAAACTCGAAAAATTTGCATTTCTGCAAAGGGGTTAGTCCATGGTTTTGGCCAAAATTATGAAATCTCTTTATTTCTTCTTTTTAGGTAAGATACGCCAAAAAAAAGTGATTGGTAACGTTCTATATAGAAAACTAGCATTTCTAGACTATAAAAACAATGATTTAAGAAAGTAGAAAAATTTGCATCTCTCCTGAGGGGTTAGTCCATGGTTTAGGCCAAAATTAATAAGTTTCTTTATCTTCTCATGTTAGGTAAGACAGCCCAAGAAAAAGTGTTTTGTACCTTTATAGGTAGAAAACTAGCATTTCTAGACTATAAAAACAATGATTTAAAAAAAGTCGAAAAATTTGCATTTCTCCAAAGGGGTTAGTCCATGGTTTTGGCCAAAATTATGAAATCTCTTTATTTCTTCTTTTTAGGTAAGATACGCCAAAAAAAAGTGATTGGTAACGTTCCATATAGAAAACTAGCATTTCTAGAGTATAAAAACAATGATTTAAAAAAGTCGAAAAATTTGCGTTTCTCCAAAGGGGTTAGTCCATGGTTTTGGCCAAAATTATGAAATCTCTTTATTTCTTCTTTTTAGGTAAGATACGCCAAAAAAAAAGCGATTGGTAACGTTCTATATATAAAACTAGCATTTCTAGACTATAAAAACAATGATTTGAAAAAGCCCAAAAATTTGCATTTCTCCAGCCGGGTTAGTCCATGGTTTTGGCCAAAATTATGAACTCTCTTTTTTTCTTCTTTTTAGGTAAGATACGCCAAAAAAAGTGTTTGGTAACGTTCTAGATAGAAAACTAGCATTTTTAGACCATGAAAACATGGATTAAAAAAAAATCGCAAAATTGGCAACTTTCCAAACAGGTTAGTCCATGCTTTTAGCCAAAATTAATAACTTTCTTTATCTGTTCATGTTAGGTAAGACAGGCCAAGAAAAATAGTTTTGTAACTTTCTAGATAGAAAACTAGCATTTCTAGACTATAAAAGCAATGATTTAAAAAAGTCGAAAAATTTGCATTTCTCCAAAGGGGTTAGTCCATGGTTTTGGCCAAAATTATGAAATCTCTTTATTTCTTCTTTTTAGGTAAGATACGCCAAAAAAAGTGATTGGTAACGTTCTATATACAAAACTAGCATTTCTAGACTATAAAAACAATGATTTAAAAAAGTAGAAAAATTTGCATCTCTCCTGAGGAGTTAGTCCATGGTTTAGGCCAAAATTAATAAGTTTCTTTATCTTCTCATGTTAGGTAAGACAGGCCAAGAAAAAGTGTTTTGTCCCTTTATACGTAGAAAACTAGCATTTCTAGACTATAAAAACAATGATTTAAAAAAAGTCGAAAAATTTGCATTTCTCCAAAGGGGTTAGTCCATGGTTTTGGCCAAAATTATGAAATGTCTTTATTTCTTCTTTTTAGGTAAGATACGCCAAAAAAAAGTGATTGGTAACGTTCCATATAGAAAACTAGCATTTCTAGAGTATAAAAACAATGATTTAAAAAAGTCGAAAAATTTGCGTTTCTCCAAAGGGGTTAGTCCAAGGTTTTGGCCAAAATTATGAAATCTCTTTATTTCTTCTTTTTAGGTAAGATACGCCAAAAAAAAAGCGATTCGTAACGTTCTATATATAAAACTAGCATTTCTAGACTATAAAAACAATGATTTGAAAAAGTCCAAAAATTTCCATTTCTCCAGCCGGGTTAGTCCATGGTTTTGGCCAAAATTATGAACTCTCTTTTCTTCTTCTTTTTAGGTAAGATACGCCAAAAAAAGTGTTTGGTAACGTTCTAGATAGAAAACTAGCATTTTTAGACCATGAAAACATGGATTAAAAAAAAATCGCAAAATTGGCAACTTTCCAAACA